ATATATAATATTAAAAATATAATAATCAAATAATTATATTTTTTATTATGTTATTATATTTTAATATTTAAATTTAAATTTAAATAATTTATATAAATTTATATTATGTAAAAATTATTGTTTTTTCAAAATTTCATTATTTTTTCCGTTACTTAGAGAATCGGAAAAATATGTCAGTCGCAAATGTGTTAATATGACAAGAAATAACATACAAAGTAATTATAATGATTGACATATTCGATTGATATTTTGTTTAGTAACACTTCCACGAAATACGTAGAACATAAGAAAGATTTGCCAGCTTCACCAGCAGAATTATTGAAACCCGACAAATTTTTATTCTACACGTATAATGATCAGGGAAACATGATCACGAAGCAAATGAGTTTACGTGAGATACAAGCGTTAATCGCTGGTGGAAATGGAGGGAACTTAGCAATGGAAATGTACGAACCTCAGAAATCAAGTGATCTGTTGAATGGAGAAAAGAACGTAAGAAAGAAAAATCTCATTTCAAATACATTCGTTCTAATCAAATTTAACATTTTTTTTATTTATTTATTTATTTTTTTTTTTTTCATTTCTTTCCTTATTTTTCTTCATTCCCAGGTGATGGACGTAGTCGAGAAAGTACAAAATGTATTAAAAAGTGCATTGGATAAACCGTCGACTATGGCAGGGTCATTATCATCAATTCCAGAATACGCAAACGCTGAATGGAGTAGCATTTTACCTGGTATTTTAACGAACAGTGAAATCGATCCTGAATCTGCATCAGAAGAACCCAATTACGTAGAAGTTACTCAACCCGATTCGTTAATGAACACGCAGAAGATAACGTCAGTTTTGTTTGATCGAGAATCCCAATCGTCTACAACATTAAAATCACCTATGATCAAAAATACTGAGAAACCTGAAGAATCGTTTAACGAAGCCATTTCAACAATAACAACAACAACAACAACAACATCCATCATTAATGATAACAAATTGTCAACGATTATTAGTTACGGTGAAACTAAATCACCAGAAAAATATACTGAAAAACCAATGATACCAGTACCAGTGATAACTATCGAAAAACAATCGGTCACCGATCAATTAGAGACAATGAAAGATTCGATGTACCAAACGTCAACTACAAAATCAAGTGTCGAGTTTATTGACACGGATCAGTCGTCGGTGAACGAGATGAATAATGCAACGGTATTCGAAAAAGTTCCAGTAAAAGTTTCGGAAGAATTGGAACAAAACGTGACCTCTGACGGCGAGTCGAGTATCAACCGAGTAACGGAATATCTACCGATTTTGACTATGTTGGTGGGATCAACGGTGAACGACTCACATGCCCTAGCAACCAACGAACTTTTGTCGTCAACTGAAAATGATATTACGAAAAAAGTAACGGAAATAATGTCACTTGAAACAACTACGATACAAACTAGTACAAAAATGAATCAAGATGAAAGTTCTACAACATTATCCGATGACACGATCACTGAATTCGTCATGCCGACTGTTAAAACTCATGTACAAATGGAACCCAATGATCATTTGTCTAATGTCAATATTACCACGCAGACATTAGATGAAAGAAACATGACTATACCTGAAATATCAATAGTAAATACTACTCCTCAAGTTCTAGAGGTAATTTCAACGTCAACGTTATTACCAACAAACGAGGAACAGCTGAATACTTCACAGTCATTCAATTTGACGATGAATACGACTCAAGAAATCGGTTATTCGTCAACATCAACACCACTTGATGATTACTTTAAAGTTTCATTGTCAGTAAATTCATCTGATGATATAACAGAAGGAACTACCATTAGTACGACTACAAATTCTGAAAGCTTTTCAAAAACGTCGGATCATACTATTGCAACGATTACAGAGAATACTAATTTCAATAGTGAAACTAATTTAAAACCTATCGATAATTCAACATCTAACGTTGATACAAATAAACAGGATGAACATACTGAAAATTTAATGAATAAATTAGAATCTCTCGAAAGCAACAAAAAAGATGAATCTCCCGTTGTAGAAGAACAGACGAATACATTGATCGAAACTGAAATGACTAAAATAAATGATATTTCTATTGTACAATCTACAGTAGCAAACAATGCAAAAGATTCATTGTCAACATCTACTTATACAACGGAAACTAATTTCGTTCGAATTAATGATTCATCTATTGATCCTTCTACCTTATCCAGCGTTATTTCTGAATTGTCTACAATTACAGAGACTACCTTTATCAATGATTTAGCAAACAATGTTTCTACCGAATCGAATGCCTATGTTTCGAATACAACAATTGAATCTGTATTGAAAAATACAATGAATGATACTAAAGAAACATTAATAACAAATACAACAATGATACCTGTTCTATCTGTCAATGAAACAAACTTAATTAACAATCACATTGAAGACATTATCAAAGATTTGTCTTCACCTTTTACGAGTCAACATACGATAACAACACCATCGGTTGTATCTAACGAATTCGTTACGGTAATTAATTCGACAAATAGCAGCAGTGATATGAGTACAATTGCACAAATTAAGAATACAACTGTGAGTTCACAGATGGAAACGTTGTATACAACGCCAATTAACGGTATAATTACAGATAACGTACAAACTACAGAAAATTATTTAAACAGTGAAACATCTTTAAATCCAAATATCGATATAATAAATAAGGAACCTCCGTTCATACGACATCAGAACGATGTAATCGAATCGTTAAATTCAATTACAACTTTAGAACCTTTAGAACCTTTAGAACAAGAAACTGCAACTGAAAAGACGATTACGAATGTCACCGTAGAAACGCGTACCACCGTGTTATCTCCAAACACGGAACGCATAACAGTTCAAGAATATGTTCCCACTTTGATTCCTGATGAATTATCTAGCACAGAAACAACTATTTTGAAATTGCAAAATAATACGTTGATAAATCATACCAACATTGAATTGGAATCATCGTTAAAAACAAACGAATCCCGTTATTCCGATTCTAAGGAAGAAATGTCTACATTGAAACCTACAACTTCTTATGTTAAATTAAACATTACTTTTACGGATAAATTATCTTCTAGCAACGTATCTATTGAAGATGTTATTACAACGAGGATTATGGAAAAAACGACGGAATTATTTGTCGAATCAACGACCAGTAGTATTACAAAAGAACCATTAAAGGATTTACTTACCCATGCAAACAAAACAATTGAAGAATCAGTGAACAACGATACGACAATAAATCAATCAAATATTTTGGTGGATCGAGTAACAGCTAATGATAGTACAAATATCAAAAGTAATCAAACAAACGGAACATCTTTAGAAATGATCGATGATAAAACAAATAATGATTCCATTTCTGTAACTCCAAGTGTTATCGAAAAAGTGTCATTGACAAAATTAATGACACCGTTCGTGTCTACGGTCACGGAAAACCCGTTAGAATTGAAATTAACTACGAAATTGAATTACAATGAGAAAATAAATGAAAGTTATTCGGGAGATAAGACCACAACCGAAAAATGGATGTTAATACCTCATAAAGTGGTCACATCATCGACTGAAAAAACAAATATTTATCCAACAAATTTAAAAAACGTGCCGCAGAATATCACGTCGGATGGTCGTTTACCTGGTGTAACATCAGATATTAAGACGAATGAAAGAATACCGTTAGATTCGCCAGCAAGCGTAAACGCATTGGATGTAACCGTGACGAAAACTGAAAACGATATCGTTAATTTCGCCAAAATGTGTAACAATTTAGCATTTGATTTTTGGATAGCTGCTAATAAGGGCCTAAGTACAAATAGATCCTTGGTTTTATCGCCTTTCGGTATGGTCAGTTTATTGGCGATGATCTTTTTAGGAGCACGAGGAACAACTTCCGATCAGATGAACGAATTACTGAAGTTAGACGACGTAGCAACATTTAATCCCCATTTGGTATTTCAAAATGTAACAGATATGGTGGGACTGACGAGAGGTCAAGGAATCACTAATACTGCCTTCGTTCGTGAACTTTTCGTAGATAGAGCAAAAGTCAGAAAAACATTGCCATTTTACAAAGAACAAGCCCAACAATTTTACGAAGGTTTAGTTGCCGAAGTGAACTTTGCCACAATTGGTGATATCGTTCGAAGACGAACGAATCTATTGGTTAGAAAACAAACGGGTGGTAGGATTAAAGACTTCATTAAAGTGAACACGGTACCACTACGATCTCCTTTGGCTGCTGTTTCAGCTAATGTTTTTCAAACTAATTGCAACTCTAGTTTCGTCAGTTCCGACGGAAGGGACGGGGAATTATATTTTGCCGTTTCACCGGCTATCAGACAGAGAAAATTAATACCTGTACCAGCTATAGTCTGGCGATCAAATATTTTAGCAGGATACGAACCTAGTTTGGACGCCACTGCGGTTGCTCTTGGTAAAGTTGAAAATCTCGTTACAACGGTGTTTTTATTACCAGGACAACAAGGTCATATAGCTCCGGGTGATACTTTGGATCGTCTTGAACGAAGACTCATAACGAGTACTTCTCGTGACAATAATTGGAACAGGCTTCTTAAAGTACTACTTCCTAGAAATAGTCTAGAACTTCAGATACCTAAATTTACGCATAGATCGGTCGTCAATGCGACAGCAGCTCTTAGAAGAATGGGATTTGATAGACTCTTCACTGAACAAGCCGATTTAAAGGGTATCAATGGAATTGGAAATCATTTACATCTTTCTGATATTTTACAGGTTAGAAATTATCATTTTTATTTTTCAAAGTTTTTACATATGCATTCGTCCTGATTTTTTCATTTTTAAAAATATCATTTAAAAATAATGTTTTAAGTTAAATATTTGAACCGATATAACCCAATATCACCCATTAATCAATCTTGTCCTATTAAATTTAATTATCAATAAAATATTGAGTTGGCAAAAAAGTCATTTCGATTTTCTAGTGTGAAATAAAACTCAATTGTTTATTGTTACGTTTATTTTTAAAATTACACGGAATTTGTTTCTATAGCAACTTAAAAGTGTCAACTACCAAACCTCAAAAGAAACAAAATTCAGACATTAACAAAAGAATAGCGAAACAAACATAACGCTATCTATTGGTGCAAGCCGAAATTACTTTCTTGCCAACCCAATACTTCTATTTTACATTCTTATGTTAATTTAAGTATTTCTTTTTTTTCTTTTGTTTAAAGATTAATTTGTTCGGCACGTGTGGCGATGAGAATCCAACAAATGGAAGACATCATATGGAAACATATCCAGCAACCCCAATAAAAAGATCTCGCAAGCATGAAGAAATTTCTCTTGATGATGTGGATAAGTTTTTCTTAGATAAGAGTAGTCCGACTAAGATCTTCGATGTCTTAGAAATAAGTGATTCGGCATTTGGAGAAGCGATACGAATAAACGATGAAATAATCGATAAAAGAAGAAAACGACATGCAGATAATGGTAAAGTGACAATGAGATCAGAAAGATCACGATTAAAACTCGACAGACCTTTCTTATATTTCGTACGTCATAATCCAACCGGTTTGATACTTCACATGGGAAGATTTAATCCAAGACTTTTGCCTTAGCTTGTTTATAATATCATTCATGAAAAAAATACGACATTTAACTTGATCGAACACCATCGTTATGTAATAACATTATCGTATATGTTGGTTTTCGATCGACAAGTCGAACATTTGATATTATTAATTCGTTAAGATATTGCAAAGATGTGCTTAACACTTCAGAAGCATCGTCTCCCGGTACCACAATCGTTACTACCGTCATGGAAGAAACTCACACGCCCATTGCGCATGCGCCAAGAGCGAAATTTAAATTCTACGAAAATAATTTTAGGTTATATATCAAGTACACTACAATACAATATCAAATATTATTTTTTTGAATAATATATATTAAATATTAATATTATTAAATTAAAAATTATCTAATTTCGAACGAGGACGTAATGAATATGTCATTATCATTTAAAAATATTGATACACTTGTAAGTACAACTTTTAAAATACTAGCTATTCGTAGATCTATATATATTCAAGATGGCGGCTAGAAACTACAAAGATAGCCGAAATAAAACGGAAATATCCGAATAGAGATTTTTTTGTGTGCCTGACTTTACTTATGCGATGAGAGAAACTTTCACAATCGATAAATAAATAATTTTTTTTTCTTTATTTTTCAAGTTTAAACAAAAATTCTTTTTCACTATTTTGTAAAGCATTAAATTTTACGAAGGTAAACAAATTTCCAAGGGGTCATTCCATTTCAAATTAGAAAGAAAAAAAAGTTTTAAAAACAGTGTGAGAAAATCTCTCTATACGATAGTTTTGAAGTGTTAAAAGCAACTCCGATGTATATTATAGTCAAAAATGAAGTATTATAAAAAAAAATAATCAAAGTTAGTCAAATGCAATATAGATTGCGACTTCATTTTCGCACATATGTTCATCATTAAATTAAACAACAAATTTTATAAATGAACGCAGTTTAAATCTGCAAATAAAATATAATTATATATCTATATGCAAATGTATATGTTCGAATAACCAAACTTTTTAACGAAAAAATATTTAAATATTGGTATAAAGATGTAAATTGTGTTATAATTAATAATTACAAAATTGTATCTTTTAATTGAATTGTTGTTAGTTAGAGAAAAATGTTAATTACTTACAAAGTCGCTTTTTATATCCTAAAACTCGCTGTTATATGACTCAGGACAACGTCAAAATCGTCTTCCTACCATGTCGACATGACAATAACTGTTCTTACCATAAATTATGTCTAATACTTAAAAATGAATAAAACGAATCGAAATAAAATTCATAGCTTTAAAATACTTTTCTTTTTGTTATATTATTTTTAAGTAATATTTAATTAATTTATATCTTTTGTATGAAGTACAAAGAGAAATAATTAGCGCCCCTCAATAGTAACTAAGTTTAAAATTTACTCAAAATCATCGGTCGGTACACTAGAATGTGACTTTTTTTTTTTTTTAAATCTCTCTCAATTCCGTCTGAGTGTAACAATTTAACTATAAAGAATATATATATATATAAAATTTGATACTTACAACACTATGCAGACTTTGAAAATATGACTTCAAAACTAAAAAAAAGCTTAAAATGAAATACTTTTAACATATATGTATTATAATATATTATCTATAAGAAAACTAAGGGGAATAGAGAGAAAAGACAATGTTACTGTTGAAGATCTGCTTTTATTTTTCGATCAAATGCTATGGGACACACATGCATAAAGGAAAAACTTGTACGTCCTTATAAGCCAATGAAAATGTGTTTTCTTTTTCGGTACAAATTTAATATTCTTCAGCACCCTCTCCTTCACCTTCAGCAGAATCCATACCAACTTCTTCATAATCTTTCTCGAGGGCAGCAAGATCTTCACGAGCTTCGGAGAACTCACCTTCTTCCATACCTTCACCAACGTACCAGTGAACGAATGCTCTCTTGGCGTACATAAGATCGAATTTATGATCGAGACGAGCCCATGCTTCAGCAATAGCTGTAGTGTTAGACAACATACAGACTGCACGTTGAACCTTAGCCAAATCTCCACCAGGTACGACAGTTGGTGGTTGGTAATTGATACCAACTTTGAACCCGGTCGGACACCAGTCAACGAATTGAATCGTGCGTTTAGTTTTGATGGTAGCAATAGCGGCATTAACATCCTTTGGTACGACATCACCTCTGTACAACATACAGCAGGCCATGTATTTTCCGTGTCGTGGATCGCATTTGACCATCTGATTGGCTGGTTCGAAGCAAGCATTAGTAATTTCAGCTACGCTTAATTGTTCATGGTAAGCCTTTTCCGCAGATATGACCGGTGCATAAGTTACCAATGGGAAATGAATCCTTGGATAAGGTACCAAGTTAGTTTGGAATTCCGTTAAGTCGACATTGAGAGCACCATCGAATCGTAGAGATGCAGTGATTGAAGAAACGATTTGACCGATCAAACGATTCAAATTGGTGTATGTTGGTCTTTCGATGTCCAAATTACGACGACAAATATCATAAATAGCTTCGTTGTCAACCATAAATGCGCAGTCGGAATGTTCAAGCGTGGTATGCGTAGTTAAGATAGAATTGTATGGTTCAACCACAGCAGTAGAGACTTGTGGAGCTGGATAGATGGCAAATTCTAATTTCGATTTCTTTCCGTAGTCTACTGAAAGCCGTTCCATCAAGAGAGAAGTGAAACCAGAGCCGGTTCCACCACCGAACGAATGGAAGATGAGAAAACCTTGGAGTCCAGTACATTGATCTGCCAATTTTCGGATACGGTCCAGAACGAGATCAACGATTTCTTTACCAATAGTGTAATGACCACGAGCATAATTATTTGCAGCATCTTCCTTGCCCGTGATCAATTGTTCTGGATGGAATAACTGACGGTATGTTCCAGTGCGGACCTCATCTAAAATTGGATAATGATACAAGTTAAAGACAAATAGTTTAATACGAATTTAGATTAACCTTTTCGCGACGGCGAGCCTGTTCCATACTTTGCCACTTTTCGCGACAAAACAAAAAAAACAAATTGAAAAAAAAAGAAAATATACATATACATATTATTACTAAATAATTGATTTTTTTTTTTAAATAAATGAATGACTGCCGTATCTAGACGGCGTCAGTCGTTGTGAACAAATAAATAGCTGCCGCATATGCACGGCACCCATCGCGAATGGTTTAAAATAAGACAATTTATTATTATTATTATTATTATTATTATTATTATTATTATTATTATTATAGTCAATTTATACTAACCAACAACAGTAGGTTCCAAATCAATGAAAACTGCTCGAGGTACATGTTTGCCTGCTCCAGTTTCACTGAAGAAGGTATTGAAGCTGTCATCGCCACCTCCAATAGTTTTATCGGAGGGCATTTGACCGTCAGGTTGGATTCCATGTTCTAGGCAGTACAACTCCCAGCAAGCATTACCAATCTGTACTCCAGCTTGTCCAACGTGGATTGAGATACATTCACGCTAAAGAAACAATAAGAATTTTAATAACTTCATATTGCATAATTATGTTAGATTATTATCAGTAAATTTATCAATTAATTATGTATATTTATTTTTACTATAGTCAGTCAAATGATTAATTTTTTACAATTAAATTCAAATAATAAATTGGATACTAAGTTAAGTAATAAGATAAAAATTTTGGATAAAGATCAAATAATATTTATAATTCTAATTGTTATAAAGTCGAATAAAGAAAAGTAATAAATAAAAAAAAAAAAAAAAAGAATTTCAATTAAAAATTTAAAAAGTCATTTGATTGATTATAATTTTTGAAAACTGATCATAGAAGTTACATTTTAATACGAAAATTTATCTTTTATATTATATTATCAGTATTAAAAACTAATTGACTGAGAACCACTGAAGCGAATGCGTCATAATGGACGCCACAAAAATGAGTCATCATAAAACGGAACTACTAAAATATATTATAAGAACAATTAAAAAACAATATATTCTAAAGAGTTTTAATTAATTATCAAATGTTTTAAATTTAAGTTTTAAAACATAGAAAAATATTTAATAGCATAATATATTATCTATAAATGTAATAAAATATGATAGATAAATTATAAAAATATTGAAAAAAAAAAAAATCTGATAATTCTCTAACGACATATAAGGTTATTTCATGAAATAGTACAATAAAGCTTCGAAAAAATTCAACAAACGATCATAAAAGTTAACTAAAGAAATGACAAAGGGCGGTGCCGGCCGGCAAGTGACAAAATGGCTACCGAGCATTGTCTAGAACATGACGCGACACGATTAATGACGTTAATCTTTCTTATTAAGTAAAATCACTAGATATAAAAAGTTAACTTACCATTTTGAGATTGTATAGAGTTTTCTTTTATTACGAAAAAAAACGACTTGGGTTGGTCGACAGTTTGCGAAAGCAAGTAATGAAGCTTCAGCCAACAACGACACGACAACCTTCGTCGAATACTCAGCGAATAATGCGCGAGGATGCGCCGCGGTCTGTTTATATACCTTCTACGATCAACCGTTATGGCGCATGCTGATTGGTTGTTTCTATCATCATCTTCTCTTGTGATTGGTCAAAACTCGACCGCAATACGCCACATACCGCGCGTTACTAAACGGAAAATATAGTGCGACAAAATATAATTCATAAATGTTTATTTATTGACATTATTTAAAAGCAGCTAATTAATAAAATATACGACAGGCTAATTTATTGTTAGTCTAATTATCTAATCTCTCTCTAACATTAGCAAATTTTTTTATTTATTGCTAATGGAAGTAAATTATATTTACTCCGAAAACGGTTTTCGCCATATTTGGAATGTACTACGTTGACGAAAGAAGCAACGGATGATTATATGCTTGTGTGAAACACACATATATATATATATAGCATTTCACGTCTTGTTTGATGAGAAATCGTATAGGAACCCTCGATATTGATTTTTCAAAAGTAGACGCATTCAATAGCCATGCCAGTTCGTTAGATGTATAATATATATATATATATATATATGTACACACATATGATATTTGGTTATTAAAGGAATAATCCTACATGCATATACACGCCTTCTTTTTTCTGATTCTTGTAGACATATTTGTGCGTATTAAGACGTATGACTCAGATATATTTTCAGCAGAACTTTCACCTTATAATGACATTAATTATACTTCCCTATAAGTTTCATATTCTGTATTTATGAACACATTATGTCAGTTATTAAGAGCATACAAAACGTATACATTTGTTTAAAACATTGGCACAAGTATACAATACAACGGGAAAATATGGGCGTATACCGAGCTCACCGAAGTGTGCAGACTGCACATGTATTGATCGGCCGTGCATGACGTTCCCTTTTTCGCATACACTCCTACATAAAAATCCTTTATAGAAAGCTTTTACATCTTCTAAGATATTCGCTAAATAACAAATTGTTAAAAATATTGTATAATAAAAAAGAAACAAAAAAGAAAGGAAAAGTAAAGCAATTGTTATAAATGATAAAAAAAAAAAAACAAGTCTTGAAGATAATATATAAAATATCATTAACTGTCAATAGACTTTATATACGACAATAACAAAAAGTTATTGTCAAATATAGCACAATACTACATGCACAATACGATTAACAACGAATATAAAATTAATATTCTGCACTGACTTCAAGAGGATCATCAACGGTATCCATACCAACCTCCTCATAATCTTTTTCTAAAGCAGCGAGATCCTCGCGTGCTTCAGAAAATTCACCTTCCTCCATACCTTCTCCGACATACCAATGAACGAACGCTCTTTTTGCATACATCAAATCAAATTTATGATCTAATCGTGCCCATGCTTCGGCAATAGCCGTTGTATTAGATAACATGCATACTGCACGTTGCACCTTGGCCAAATCACCGCCGGGTACGACCGTGGGAGGTTGATAATTTATACCTACTTTAAAGCCTGTAGGGCACCAATCAACAAACTGTATACTACGTTTGGTTTTTATAGTAGCTATAGCTGCATTAACGTCCTTGGGTACGACATCACCTCTGTACAACATACAGCAGGCCATATATTTGCCATTTCGTGGATCACATTTGACCATTTGATTGGCTGGCTCGAAACAAGAATTAGTAATTTCTGCTACGCTTAATTGTTCATGGTATGCTTTTTCTGCGGATATGACTGGTGCATAAGTTACCAATGGGAAATGAATCCTTGGATAAGGTACCAAATTTGTTTGAAATTCAGTTAAATCGACATTGAGAGCACCGTCGAATCGTAAGGAGGCAGTAATCGAAGAAACTATTTGACCGATCAATCGATTCAAATTTGTATACGTGGGTCTCTCGATGTCTAAGTTTCGACGACAAATATCGTAAATGGCCTCATTGTCGACCATGAACGCGCAATCGGAGTGTTCGAGTGTGGTATGGGTGGTCAAGATCGAATTGTACGGCTCAACCACAGCTGTGGAAACTTGCGGTGCTGGATAAATGGCAAATTCTAATTTGGATTTCTTTCCGTAGTCTACTGAAAGTCGTTCCATCAAGAGAGAGGTAAAACCAGAACCGGTCCCACCACCAAACGAATGGAAGATGAGAAAGCCTTGGAGTCCAGTGCATTGATCCACTAATTTTCTCACGCGATCTAGAACAACGTCGACTATCTCCTTGCCGACTGTGTAATGGCCACGAGCATAATTATTAGCGGCATCTTCTTTACCCGTTATCAATTGCTCCGGGTGAAAAAGTTGACGATACGTTCCTGTTCGTACTTCGTCTGAAAATAAATTATTGTTACAATATAACATCGATTTATATTATGATTTTCTTATTATTGATTTCTACATTAAGCGGATCTTTTCGCTTACCTACAACGGTAGGTTCAAGGTCAACGAACACTGCTCTAGGCACATGTTTGCCTGACCCAGTTTCGCTGAAAAATGTATTAAAGCTATCATCTCCTCCTCCTAACAATTTATCAGATGGCATTTGACCGTCTGGTTGTATGCCATGTTCCAAACAATAAAGCTCCCAACAAGCATTTCCAATTTGAACTCCAGCTTGTCCTACGTGAATAGAAATGCACTCGCGCTGAAATAATTCGCGCGCATATTTGCATTATATATCTATCTATCTATATATATATATATATATATATATATATATATATATATATNCTATCTATATATATATATATATATATATATATATATATATATATATAGTACATATGTATATGTGTGTATTTTTTTCAATTTTATTAAATTATATATAGTTTTAGCATAACGATTTATTATAACTTACCATTTTGTGCAAAAAAATGTAGATGTAAAATAAATAATGTAGGTTGAAGAGAAATAAAGAAAGATAGAGGAGTATAAAAAACAAAAGACGATAGTTTGATCTCAACACTAAAAATCGAACCTATGAGAGCGTTTAGATGAAGCTGGTAATGAATCTCCTCTAAACACAAATTGCGCCGTTGTGCGAATCTGCCAGTTATACTCTTGGCTCACGCACCAGTTTTAGGCTACGACGAAGCATGCGCCCCGTATTAGCCTCGTGACACTTATGCAACAATAAACCTTATACGGCACATTAAATCTCCCTTAGTGTTGTCTTCCTGTCTATCACGATTATCATCATCGAAGCATAGATCAAACGTAACCGTTTATATGTATTCTCAATCATAGACTACGTTACGATTTCATCTCTATGATTAGAAACATACATGTATATATACATATACATATATATATATATATATATATATATATTTATACCACTTAATGAGAATATAATAAAGTATGACTCATAACAGCATCAGAGTTTTTAAAACGTCGTAGTATCCTTTTTACATTGACTACATGCAATCAAATCTTTCGTGCAAGGTCAACGACATAAGGGGCAAATGAATTTAGAACTCATACCCCTCTCTTAGTAGAAAAATGTATTCCTTTTGTACAACATACCAAGATTGATCTAAAAATATACACAGTTTATATTAGTCTGAACTCACAGACGAAAGAGTGGAACCAACCCTACCTTCCCTTTTCAATGCAACTGCATAGAAAATTTAATGCAGTATTCGTTTCTTTCTTCCAAATTTGTAGGTCTTAATTTTTGAAAGAAACATATTTATTAAGTATCAAATTCATATAACTGGAAAGTGAATGAAAAAGAGAAAGAGCCGTATTTTATATGTGTAATGGTTGTCCTGTGACATGCTTTCTCTTTCTCTCTCTCTCTCTCTCTCTCTCTCTCTCTCTCTCTTTCTTTCCTTCTATCTTTCTGTCTCTCTTTAATGAGGCCATTCACATAGCGCTTACCTTCCACGAATCAATACCGCAGAAGTTTCAATGATCTTATAAGGTTATCGTCAGTTTTCTTTACCAAACGCGACACTATCTCATCTCCTTTAACGTTCCTCACCATTAAACACATGAGAATTCATGACGTAATGCACTGTGACATCACCTATATGCTTTTTCGATATTTTATTATTACTTAAAGAACGTCATTATATTGAAATCCTTCTGCTTTAGATAAAGTGAAATATTGTATTGTGATTATCTTATATATTATCTTTTATATAATTTCATATATTGTTTGCATTTAGCTGAAAAAAAATAAAAGAACAAATATACAAATATATTATTAATATATTGTATTTAAGTATATTCATTTTATTGTAATATCTATATACATATATGTATATAATATTATTCTAATATATATATATATAATAAATTAATATTATTTTAGTTTAATAATATTTTAACAATACAGTAAATTAAATATTTATATTTTACATTTTGGACATTAATCTTAAAGCATTTTTCTTGAAATATATCATGGCCAAGGATAAACGGTGTTTTTAAGAAAAGTTTGATTTTCAGCACATGATAAATTGAAAAAAAAATGTTTGATTTTTATTAAAATGATACAGCGACTTGTACGAAAAATTAAATAAACAGAAGAAGAAACAATGGTAAAATTGATGAAACTTGTAATCCGTCTTTTGGGGAGCACTGTTTCATTTGTTCCTCTTTAAAACAAGAGAATTACTAAATCAATAAAATAACTGATTGAAGTAAATTGTTTTTTCTTTTTCTTTTATTAGTATGTATAACATTTTATACGTATACATATATATTTTAGACAATATTTTTTAATTGTTGTGATAAAAATAGATAAGTATTAGTAATAGATAATGTTTTTAATTCTAGATGAATATTATACTATTATTGTTTTTATATAATATTAGTGCCCCAAGGCTGGTACCTTATATGTTTTAGCTTAGGGTCGGTCCTGATATGTATTTTCTACAGATGGCGCTAGAAACAATACAACATTTTATGGAGGGGTTTATAAAAATGAGTTCGTAGAGTGAGCAATAACCTATCTAGACCGGTAGTAAACAAATACGTTAATCGTATAAATTGATATTACTAATGAATAAATCTTGTTGTTAAGTTTATAAAATATAACAATTATGTATGCTAAATTACAAGATATGATTGGTCGAAAAGACCGATCGCGATTACGTGAATTTGTACGAAATGTAAACATCGAAGAAGTGAGTAAAGAAAGAATAATTTATTTTTATTTTAAATGAAATGTGACATTTGGTTTGAAATAACCCATTTAAAATTAAAAAAATATGACATAAATAATGACATAATAATAAATGAAAACAATTTTTATGATTGTTCAACAATAAATGATGGGACAATGTATATTATTTTATCAATTTTGTGTACTTTCAATTCTGTGAAGTTAATTAATTTAACAAATAAATAGTTCATATGTTTCTCAAAAACAAAATGAACAAAATAACAATTCTTTTATAAACTAATTCTATACTACATTTTTGACTGAATTTTTCGTGTTACATCATCCTCTGCTCACTTTTACTATCAAGATGCTCTATATAATTATTTTACTTTACTATTTAATTAAATACATATATTTTTTGTTGCCCCTCCCCATATTCTAAAAAAAAAGTCTATAAATTTATATTTGTTTCAGCTTTGCAAAGTGTTGAGTGACAAGATTTGTAGCGGAGATATAGTCAAAATTCTGGATGAAGTATTACAAATATTTGGTAATGTTGACAAATTTTCTGAAAATAAATTGAAAATAGTAAAAGCCATATTACAAGTATTAAGAAATGCTACAATCAGTAATAATCATGCTGATGAGATTATCAATCTCATAGCTATAGATTTTCCTAATTATTCAAAGAATTGTTTACTTCAATTAGTACAATATTGTGTCTCTCATATTTATTTAAATGAAGATCACTTTCACAGGTATAACAATATTTATTATTTCAATTATTATCTAATTATCTAATTATCTAATATTCTTCAAAGATAATATAATGATTATAACAGTATATATATTATTACAATAATATATATATAGTATAAAAAATAATATATATATATAAGGTATAATAAAATAATTAATATTTTAGTTGGAAAGATTTAATACCAGTACTATTAGAAATTTTGGAACAAGAAAAATGTATTGAATATATGGGTTCGGAAGTTTCTGGAAATGAATATAAATCACTGATCGTTAAACCCATATGTAATAGCAATTGGGATCCTACAATTGCGCCATGTTTAGCCAAAATGTTTGGGTATAAATTCTTTAATATTAAAAAAATATATGTTTATATCAATTTTAACCCTTACCCAAAAAGAGTTTATTTATGTAACGTAGGTGGGCACACTGAATTCAACTGAATATTTAAATAAATCACACAATTTCAATAATAACAAGTATACAGTAAGACCCATACTATTCAAAATATTAAGAAATTAAAAAATAAAAACAAGCATGTGAATCCATTAGATTTATCTTGTCTGGCTAAGGGTTAATCTTTTTATTTTGTTAAATAATCCTTTTTATTAGTTAAAACAGAAGAGTTTTTTTATTATGTAATTTTGAATTAATATAATTTTATAATTTTGTTTTTTTTCTTTTTTGTTTTAACAGAGACATGATTTTGGATAAAAAAGATTTGAATGTAGTAGTTGCTTCATTATGTCATAAACTTTCTATGATTGCTTTAAATGAAGTACCACCTTTTGTGTACCAGACCCTTAGATTATGTAATAATCATAGCTGTATATATCTGATTGTATCATTGCGCAAATATTTTGCAACATATTATTCAGATGCAATTAGTAAAGAATCAGAGAACGCTTTTGAAGATATTAGTAAGCAACAATATTCTTTTAATAACTTAACACAGTATATATATATATGTTATCTATATATTAATGGCAATATATAAAAACCAGGAATTCTATAAAATGCCTAATATTTTTGAGCAAAGTATGAAATATTCAAATTATGTTAACGCTAAACATATGACTGGTCAAATGACCGATTGTGAAATTTTTGACAAAATTTTGTTTCACAAGTTATAATGTTATTATTTGGTGAGTCAAGAATTCTTATTGTATTAATGGTATATTTTTTTACTATGTATATGTTATGTTATATTACTGCAAAAATTTCATAGAATGACTGGACAATCTGTTGTATTGCTTATTATACATATTGCTTGTAACACATGCATCATAAGATATATGAATTTTTGAAAATGGATCATTTGATCAGCTGTGATAGAAATAAGTATACATAACTGTTAATATTATTATATACAGAGTGATAAAAAAACGATCCAATATTTTAAAGACTTCTAGTACTTATCAAGAGAAGTAAAAAATGTCTAATTAACATGAATTCTAAAATCATTCCTTTCGATGTAGATAAACTTTTATATTTTATAAACATTCGATGCCGTAAACAAGTCTTTTGGCAATATATTGAATGTATGTATGAATGATTTTTGTATCTAAAGTTAATTAGACATTTTTTATATCCAGATTGAATTTAGATTCAATTTTATCTTCAACAACATTTTTAATTCTGAAGCACAAAAAATGTACAAAATATTAATTTCTTCATCTTAATCATCTTTATTAGCATACGTACCTGGTAAGATACATCATGTGGTAACATGACATTAGAAAAATCATTAGCATGAGTATTTTATATCTTGTCAATTTATCTTTTGGCATTGTATAGAATATCTTAGTAAATGTGTGAAATATTAATTGTTTCATATTTTGATTGAAAAATATCAGACATTTTGTACAATACCTGCTTTTCCATCGATTGCTGATATTTTTAATGTATTTCTTATATATGTATTGTCATTTTTGTAGGTACTACAAGTTTACAAGAAATAAAAGACGCAGAGAGCAATGTTTTATTTCACATACATCATGCTGCACAATTACATTACAAGTGTATCAAAGATTTGATAATTAAATTTAAAAAGTTTTCCATGGTACCAGAATATGTTTTAGAACCTTTCATTTTATCAACAACATTTATAATCTCCAGTGTACATGAAGAACAGGTAACAAATAAATAATTTATATGATGTTATATAATCTTCTAATTTCTATTCAAAAATTTTAAAATTGTACACACACTTCATTTATTTATACATTGATATCAACATTTTTAAAATACATTCTTTTTTTTCTCTCTCTCTCTCTCTCTCTATTTTCTGTTATATTAAAATTTTTCAAGATTTGTACAAATAGGTGTTTGAAATACTTCATTTGACTATTTTAAGAAAAATGCAAGATGACGAAAAATGTAAGAACAGTGCTTGGTTAAAATCTTTAATACATAATAATTGTGATATTATGAATGTTATAGATCAAGTTATAACAAATAGGTATGTACATGTATATAAGAATATATAATAATATTTCTATGAATATAAAATTATATTTTTTTGAATGAATTTCTAGTATTAAGGGTCGCCATGTTGTATTAAAAGGAATTATGGATTTAGCCTTTGTGCTTATGGATACAGAACATTCAACTGGAAAAATCAGTAAATGTACAATTCATAAAATAGGTATACAAATACTTCAAAGATTACTAAAGAAAAAACATGAAATATGTGGTCCTGTACTTCAATTATTAACTGACAAAATAGTGGCAGGTGGTTTGTTAATATCACAATACACAGGTAATAAATGTTATTACAAAAAAAAAAAAAATGGAAATGAATATAAAAATATCTTTTTATATATTGCACAATTATTTTTTGATTTATATATCTTTTTTTATATAGATTGTTTAGCATACATGTGCCATAAGCAAGCAATGAATGTGCTGGATTTTCAAACTTACATAATTACACTTCTTGATCAATTGCTATGTGTACCTGGTAGTACAGCTGTACAAATTCTTTATGCAGTTTTACCACTAATACAAATATCATCTAATATACAAAATAATCTTATATTAGCATTAAGAAAGGCTCTTTATAAAAAAGGAATATGTACACGTAAAATGGCAGTAACTGGTTTTCTTGAATTATTAAAAATGTTAAAAATGAATTCTATAAGAAGTCTTCCTAGTGATTATTCTGAAAATTCTGTTGTATTATCAAATTCATCGTCAGTGTTAACTCAGGTAAACACAAAGAGTAGATTATGATTATACATGGTGTGTCTAAAAAGTTCGCTGAATGGTCTCAGGAAATAAAGGAAATAAGAGTTACAAACAAAATACCTTTACTGGCCTTCAAAGTAATCGCCATTGGTTATAATGCATTTTTGACATCGGTTGTACAGCTGTTGGAAACTGTCAGCAAACACTTCTTGTGAAATCACTCGAAGCACTGAGGTCACGCTCACGATTTCTAAAACCGTTGTTAAGCGTAAACCTTTCACGGCTAATTTAAGGTGAGGAAACAGAAAGAAGTCTGCTGGTGCCAAATCTGGAGAATAAGGAGGGTATGGAAGCACAGTGACCTCGCGTTTACCAAGAAAGTTGAGCATTTTGCTCCATTTTGTGCTCCATGTTGCAATGACACGAGTTCTCACACTGACTCTGTTAGCTGGGTCGCAGCGTTTACCACCGCTTCACTACAGTGCTTTGCAGAATAGGAAACGTTTGTTGACATGTCCTTCAATGTGTATACGCAGGCACCTCATCCTTGTTAGGATTTGTGCGGTTTGTAAAATATGGGACCATTCACCGAACTTTTTAGACACACCATCATATATATTTCTAATTAAAATGCGTTTATATACAATGTTATTTTGTTTATCTTATAATTTTACTATACTTTTTTTTAGGTAACATTAGAAAACCAGAATAATATGGGCAATAGTAATGGATACAATAAAGGATTATGCGTGGATATATTGAATATATTAAAAAAATGTTTTACTCAAGAATTTGAAGTCAGATCACATTTATATGAAGGTAAAATATTAAGAATAATATAAAATATCGTATAGATCTATGTATGAATAACGTATAATATATTTTTTGTAGGATTATTTGAGGTTGTAATTAAGAATCCTGAATTATCGGAATATATAATGGAAATATTACTTGCCCAATTAAATCTTTATTTTGAGACTGATGAAAATATTTTACCTCCATTAAAAATTGATCTTAGTGTCGATATGAATGATTTACAAATGATTCCACGGGAACCTATAGCTATATTGATTTCCGTATTACAAGAAATTTATATTAAAATAGCTTCAAAGGATTGGGATATTTTAAATAAAATTGCTATCATTCTGGAATCATTGTGCGTGAGAATGGCACGAACTGAATTGGAACATTTAAATTTGGTATGTATTTTATTTCAATATATTGAAAGTAGTTTTTAAAAATAATGATTTATTTAAAATAATAATAATAATAATAATAATAATAATAATAATAATAATAATAATAACAATTAATTTCTAATCTTATAGGATGAAGGAATAGATTTACTTGATAATACCCCAAAATCACAACAAAAATTACATAATCTGAAAGAAATGATGGGTGTATATGAAGCTTTAATATCATACAGAATTAATTCATGGATTAATGGAAGTCAAAATATAGCAAGAAATATATATGATCTTTTTAAAGGTTATAATAGATTAATGGATATTGTTAAGGTAATTTTGAAAATAATATCAATATTTTTATATTTGTATATATAATAATATAAATATAAATATAAATATATATAATATATTATATATTATATATGGTATATTTAATATAATATATTTATTTTTATATTTATTTATTAGCTATGTATTAGTAGTTCTCAAACTTTTTCTATTCCTTGGTGTATTTTGGTTTTTAACGTTTCACTTCAAATTTTAATAACTTCATCTTGCGGAAAATTAACAATTATTTATTATTAAAAGATTGAATAAAAGTAATTTAATGGTTTGTGCTAAATTTGAAAGATTTGACATGTCATTTCATTGAATTAAAGATAGAAATAAAATTCTACAAATTTTGTAATATTTCAAGGTGTACATTTTGAGAACCACTGGGATACATTATTATATAATGATATATGATTATAATTATAAGTTATATATTCTCTATATGATAATATATTAGATTTATACTTATTGTAGAATCTGAGAAAAAAGAGAGGAAACAAAAGTAAGAAAAATAAAGATGCAAATAGTTCTATACTTAAAAAGAAAAGTAATACAGATGCTATCAAATTACCAAATGGAAATATAAGTTTAAGCATAGTGTGTAAAATTTTGGAGCTACATTATTTGTTAGTATCATATTTAATATATATATATTTTATTTCAAAAATAAAAAAAAATATCATGTAAATTACACGTACCAATAATACTATTGTTTTCTAGGGATAAATGGTCAGACAATGATGAAGTTAAAATCCTAAGATCACATAAAGAGTTTTATCATTATGTTTTACAAAGTTGTATTTCTATTTTTCAAACAACAATGTCATTAAGTATTCCAGAGTTTGAAAAACATAAAAAACAAAATATAAAAATCTATCATGAAATTGGAAAGTAAGAATATTATTCGCCATTTGTAAATGTCTTTGGTTATTTTGTTTGATGTTACATATGCTAATTAAAAAAATGATTTTCTTATAGATTACTTTATAAAAATATAATTGTAGAATTTAAAGATTCATTCAATTATGATCAACAAGGAGCATTGTTAGCTTTGGAGTGTTTTAAACAATATTGTTTTCTAATATGCTCAAAGTTTTCTTCTCAATTGTCAAAATTTTTGGATAGTATGTGTACGTATTTTTCTACCATTGAAAAAGTGCAAACAACATTATCTTTTTACTTAATTCATTTATTTTGTATTTTTATTATTATTTTTTTTTATTATTAGGTAATCAAGAATCAACGGATAGTTATAACGAACAATTGCAAACTTTTATTTTGTCTTTTAAAGTTCCATTGAAAATGTCATTTAATGAAGATTCTGATGATGAAGAAATCTATAAACAAATATCGTTAATATTATTAGAAATAATACAAAAATTTGTGCATCAATTAAACTTTCAGGATAATAATGTGGATAAAGTTTGTATTAACATATTGAACTTTGAAATTTTCTTATAGATATTATATATATATATATATATATGTATATATTAACTATTCTTAATTAATTATAGATTTTTGAATGGATAAAAAAATGTTCGCAAACAGAAGGCATTAGTCCTTCTGCATCTGTTTTGATACTTCAAATCCTTTTATGGATGGAAGACAGCGATAAAGATTATGGAATGATATTAAATGATATTTCTTTTGAAATATCAGAGAAATTGGGTATGATACATAAGGTTTGTAAATCTTATATATGATTAACTATAAGATAAAAGTTATATTTTTGTTTTCTTCATGTATCTTTCTTGCAGATCGAAACAACAACAAGTGCAAAATTTAAAATTATTAACGAAAATACAGTTGTCCAAGCTTATAACATTGTTAATCATCAAATAAAAAATAAATTAGATAATGTGTCTTGGTTTTTAGAACGTTTAAAAGCTGAACTTACAGCAATGAATGTTATTAATTTGAATAATGAACAAAGTACGTATTGATAATTTGTTACATATATGATAAATATTAATGAATTTTGAATAATTAATATTTATCTAATATTTTCATAAGATCCAGAAAATTTAGTAGAAAAAGAACGCAGTTTATGTAGACAATTATCGTATATCATTCAAATACTTAATACATTGGCCAATATATCTATTGATCCGGGTCAATCTACTAATTTGATATTTAAGAATTTACAACAATTGTATAACATATTGAGCAAACTTACTAAATATTTTTATTCTAAATCGAGCAGTGGAAATGCTGCATTTCATGCAGTTAGGTAAGTATTTAGAATTAATGTTAATATATCTAAATATATTAAAATTTATAAAATGTATCAATTCTTTTTTTCATTATTATCTTTTAGATTTATTCAAGTGATACAGTTAGCAGGAAAACCACTAAAATATACTTTCTATGAATTAGTAACGCACATAGAGGTACGTTATGTTTAAAGATATTTAATACGTGAAATATATCTAACTTGATTAATATCGAATAACTAATAAATTATGGATTAAACAAAAAATGATTTCTATAAAGATTACATGATATTCAAGAGAAGTATATTATGATGTGTATGATTTTTATATAAGTGGATACATTCAAGAGATGTAAAAGTCCATTTGGTTTTTCTTAATGCTCAACATTTTTATGGCACTTCGAATGAGTATTAATTTCCAAGTAAAAAAAGTATTTTTGCAATGTTTGCTTAAAGTTTATTATTAACGAGATATTAGTTAAATTTTAATTAGCATAAGATCGCTTTGGAAGATTAATACTATCGAGTGACGACAGTATTTATGCCATAATAATGCTACTATCAAAGTTGCATGTTAATTTCAATGCTGTTATGGTGATAGGATATATCAACGAATAATGGAAACGTATATGCCTTTCAGCGATATGTAGATTACACATTTGCATTAATTACAATTTATTAAATTGTAAATGAATACGATATCATCAACCATTATCTGTAATTTAAGAAGGTTTATTTTACTTGCTAATAGCTTATTGAAATTATTTTAATTGTAAAAAATAAGTTATCCTATTTAAAAAAAAACAAAAAATGAAGATGATACTGAAATTTTCATAGAGCCTTCATCTACTCAAAAAAAAAAAAAAAATAGATATCACAATATGTTTCTTTTTTTATATTGCAATTTTTGCAATATAAAAATTTTTTATATTATTACAAATAACAGAGATATTCAAGGTTGACAGAATAATTATTATTATTAGATGTAAATATCTCGAGAACAAATGATCAGAGTATGATCATTCAGATCATTTTTATTTATTTAAGAAAAGTATTATTAGCAACGTTAACATTTGATCAATAACCTTGAGAACAAATTTGTTCAATCATTACAATTTTTCCTACTGCAATAATTCTTCCTTCTGAAGTTTTTTAATGTGATTGTAAACAAAGGAGATATTAAAGGTGTACAGAGTTATTGTTTGTATTCTATATATACAAAATTATTGTATGTATATTGTATGTATTTTTAACAAATTCTTTTTTATTGTTATTAGGATAGTCAGAGTAAAGATAAAAAACGATTAAAGACAGATACAAATGTACAAAAGAATTATATTTTAAGAGAAACCAAATTAATACCACGTGTTGTTTATGAGATTGAACAATTTAGTAAAGAAGTATTATTGCTTGCAAAAAAAACAGGGGTAAGATACAAAATTATGATTATATAAAATTGTATATAAATTGAATGATTTGTAGTGATTTCTTTGTTTTTTTTTATTATATAGGTACCCTTAGAAAATTATATCAAACATAGCGTTACACGTGATTTTCGAATATTAGAATCACAATTAACAGAATCTCTGGAACAAATGGACGTCAGTATGGTAAGAAAATAATTATAATATATATTACATCATGTGTTGATTTGTAGAAATATTAACAATTATTATTTTTTTTTTCGATTTAACAGTTAAGCACACAACGCAGTAATACCACCAATATAGATAACAGTCATATACAAGAAGATTCTAATGATACTTCATCATCCATGATTGAAACGTAAATAATTTTTTCCCATAAATTTGATTAATTTTATTAGATAACAAAATATCATAATTATATAAGATATTTTCACATTTTATTTTTATATGTATATTTGATTATAATGTAATTTTATATTTTTATATAATTGGCATGAGAAAATGTATAATTATCTATTATTTTCATTGATAATAAATATGATTGAAAGTAAGAATGTACTAATACAATTTATAAATTAAACTTATTTTGTTTCAATATTAATTGATGTATTATAATATGATCTTAACGAATAATACTAGTTATGCTATGAAACATTACATATACTAATTATAAGTAAAAAATAAAATACACGGATTATATGCTTTTAATTAAAAAAAAAAAAAAAAAAAAACAATTGATTTAAATTTTTACATGACATTGTTGTTATGAAATTGATTTAAAAAAATTTCACTAATTGGTATTTTCAAATGTTGAAATATTTATGCTACAAAATCAAGTGGTCTATTGAAGCCTCCTTTTCTATTCATATACTGTCTATACTTTCTTTTTAGAATAACATGTACTGCACCTACATCATTTCCTTCAACCTTTTTACCTTTGGTAGTATCGAAGCCACAAAAACCCATCATTCTCATCATTTCTTGTTCTTCTGGTGTTTTTCCTTGAAGATCTGCCTCTATATAAGAAAAATCACGTTTATTATAAATTATCGATATTTACATAAAAAATTAAAATCATTTTTTTTTTTTTAATTATGCACAATAATATGCATCTTACTAATTTTAATGACTTTCAAAATACTTTATTAAAGTCAACATTCTGAGTATTTATTTTCTTTATTCTTTCATTACAATAAACACACACACATATATATATATATATATATATATATATATATTACATTAATTAATATAATTAACATTATATGTTACTTCTTTTGTGCAATACACAATTTAAAAGTTTAATATTTAAAAAATATATTTTCGTGTAAAAGAATTTGGAAATATTATACTACCAGAAAATATTGTTTTTAAATTGATAATGAGGAGGGAGGGGGGAAAAAGGGGGAGGGGTTATAAATATTCTTGAATTTTACTATATTTTTTGTATTGGAAAAAAAATACTCAGAATACTAACCTTGACAACACATGTTAAACTTGATAAATTATATTGATTTATGAGTTTACTTCACATATAGATACTAAACATGATTTTTGATTCTCACTATACCTGTTATAACAGGACGTTCTGCTGTAGATATTTTGGCTCTGGGTTTAGGTCTGTCTCGTTCCCTAGATCTAGATCTACTGTATGATCGTTTATGTCTTTCCCTATCACGATCTCGTTCTCTTTCTCTATCTCTTGATTTTACTCTATCACGTTCTGCAGATCTGAAAACCAAATTTATATATTAACTTTTATCAAGTACAATTAGTATACGCCAAATTAATAATTATTCTTACCATTTTTGTACATACCTCCGACGTCTTTCACGTGATCGTCGTCTTCGACGATCTCTTTCACGATCACGTTCCCTGGAACGATCACGTCGTCTTCCTGGTGATGGTGTATGACTTCGACCCATTTTAGGTTAGAATTGTAAACACACAATTGTTAAAACTGCTTGCACACTATTAAACAATCTTTAATGAGAAATATATAATAATATATTATTATTATTATTATTTATTAATATTATTATATATATTTATATTTGATTTTCCATTTCTTATGTGTTTTGATAGAGAATGCTTTCAAGTTATGAATACAAATACTATGTGACACTCAAAATAATACAATATTGTATCACGTACAAAACAATATATACTTACATGATTGCATAGTTGTAATATTGAGTAATCTTATTTCATTCGTTTAATAAATTATCAAGCATTTTAAACGACTAAATACGTCTCTTTATTGACTACTGCTAACCTTTATTTATGTTTTTGATTCACGTAGTAATCTACCTGTTAGCATCACACGAGTAAAAGCAGTTAATATTAATGGCGGTAAAATTTTGTAATTAAATATTATAAAATAATAATTAGTATAAATTTCATGATTTATGATAATCTCGTTGTAAAGAAAATGTTGTGCAAAAATGATAAAGAAAATATTACAATAAATATGATTTTGAAATACGTTTCGTAAAAAATATCATGTAATTTCTATTTTAACATGGCGTATCAACGATAATATTCTATCGTACATAACAACGATGTTTGTTTTAATAATATCGGCTTATGAATATATTTCATAAGTAATATTGTTTTATATGTTAATGATAAGAACCTGTCAATATTTCAATTTCATGTTAAACTGACATGTTTATACATACCGTCTTATATCGATGTTACTTACGAAATCCAAACTGACGTAGACCGTAGACAACATAATGATGCAAATGCTWTTATTATTATATTAAGATTTTAACCAGTAATTGTAATTGACGATAAATAGTACTCGTGAAAATATTGTAATATTTTTTATTATTATCAGTATACTTTCCATGTACGAACAAAATAATAACCATTCGTTATTTAAGTTGCAATTTTAATTGAAACTAAAATATATTCGTAAAATTCAAAATTTGACAAATATTTATTAAAAATATTTTAGTTTAAAAAGTTTTAAGTATCGCAGATGTAGACGAAAATCTAGTATTCAGTTCTTTTCTTTATATTTTATTTTCTAAAAAGGAAAACTCTATTATACATTTTTATAAAAATATAAAATTAATTGTCACACGTATGTTTTGTGAACACGAAAATAAAAAACACCGTCTTCTACTGCCAAAGTTATCCACTGCGTGCGCTAATGTCCGTTTCGGCTTCCCCTACCATGACTTCGCACGGTGCCTATATGGGGTTTAATTTTGGGATCTGGTCTCGTCGAACTACTATCTTTTTAGGACATTGCAACACTACTTATCTGAGGTATACTTCAAGTCAAGTTTTTCAAAATTTCATAGTCAACAAATTACCTTTATTGGGATTCAATTTATGTTACCCAATATATAACAGTTGAGCTGAAAAGGCTGTAGGCTAACATAGTAAAACACATTTTTTTTGATAGAAATCAATTTTTTTATTCAATATAGTTGTTTTCGAGAGCAATACAACGATTATAGAGGTAATATAATTTTTCGATACCATTTTTATAGTATGATTTCTCTTTAGCTTCAAAATAGGCTTCAGTTTCGACGATTACCTCTTCATCAGTGCTGAATTTTTTTTCCAGCTGGCATTCTTTTGAGATCTGCAAACAGGAAAAAGTCACTGGAGGCCAGTTCTAGAGAATACCGGTGGATGGAGAAGCAATTTGAAGCCCAATTCATACAACTTTGCCATCGTTTTTTTGATCGATTGTGAGCACGCGCGGCACCCACTTTGCACACAGCTTTCACATGTCCAAGTATTCATTTATTATAAGTTCTACACGTTCCTTTCATATCTTTAGAGTCTCAACTAACTCAATCAACTTTATTTTATTGTCATTCAAAATTATTTTCTGAACTTTCTTGATGTTTTCGTCGGTAAAAGCCTCTTTCGGTCGTCCGCTGCGTGCATCATCTTCGATGCTCATTTCGCCTCGTTTAAACTTAGCAAACCACTTCTCAACGGTTGATTTTCCTGGTGCAGAGCTCGAATAATGTTTATCAAGCCAAGCCTTGGCTTCAACAATATTAATTTTTCAATAAAAAGCAATGTTTTATTAACACACGAAAATCTTTGTTATCCATCTTTTTGAAAATAACAAAAGCCGCTTCACTCAAAATGCTACATCTCAGGAATCAACTACTCGACAGTTGAGAAATTTATACATATATCTTGTGAAGGTTAGTACTAACAAAAAATGATATGGATTTAATCCTAGTAATGCTATCTATGTGTTAGCCTACGGACTTTTCAGCCCAACTGTTAATTAAGGGGCATTATTAGTGTGACCGCTTGAAAATAAGGTAACATTTCGGAATTTTTTTTAAAGAAAACCACTGCATGGAATGTTTTAATTTATTTAGGAGATATTTGTGGATATGTAATGAATATATGACTACATTTGTGGACCAAAAAATTGAAAATTAAGCGAGTTATTCGCAATCTCTCAAGGCCCCAACAAAAAAGTTCCAACACTATAGTACTTCAGTTATAGCACCTTCACAGTGCTTGAAATAAAAAAAACTGAAAAGTTTATTAAATTAGAAAGAATTTCCTCTACCATGAACCTCGATCGAAATGAAAAATTGTAATTTAACAAATTGGCGGAGTTTTAAAAATAAGTTTCAAATTTGGCGCGAACATTTAATGATTTTTGGCCGGTCAAAATTACATTTTATATTCGATCGGAAAACTGAAGGTTTATGGTATATAGACATATATATATATATATATATATATAAAGCTGCAACAAGAATTAAATCGATCGGATGATTTGTCTTCGAGTTCTAACTACATCAAATCTGGAAAATATAATTTCGACAAAAATGCGTTTAAAATTTAAGCTACTGATGTCATCGTTATAAATACAAAAATATTAGATAGCTGTAACAAAAAAACTATTTGAGATAAGCATTTGAAATTTTAGTATGTTATTTTTAGAGTAATAGACTATCAAAATATGCAAAAAAGAATACGATTTGTTCAAAATTTTACACTAATGGTGTCCCTTAACAAGTTGAGCGCCACGTCCGCTATCGGTGATGGACATTAGACTTTCAGTTTGGGCCGCGTCAGTCACGCATGACTGACAGCGTATAACATGATACATCTAAATAGTGCTCGTGGCCTGACGGTGACTTTCTTGAAAATAAACGTGATCTGACAAGGAATTCCTTGCAAATGAGCGTGGTGCTCAACGTGTTAAGAAAAATGCTATCGAATTGTAATTTCTACGTTTAATAAATATGTATAATTATTCGATATGTGTATTTCTTTAATAAAAAGAACTGTGTTAGTATAACAGTTGCTAATCTTGGGGAAGGAAAACAAGTTTTAGTGGTCCCCGAGGTGGGTGGGTCCCAGTCATCACGATACAGCTCGTCCTTAGGTTGCGGATAGAGGAAGAACCTCTTTGTCTCAAATAAGGACAGAGGTTAGCTGCGAATAAATTGAATAAACAGTCGTGGATAGCCGATTGAAATTGGCATTCCTGTTCGGGGATGGGGAGTAGGTTTGATTGCCCACACAATAAAACGACTTTATCAAATATTAAAAAGAACACCCATGGATTCTACGAAGACATCGAATGGAGGGGTCGCGCTCAGGGACGGAACACTGAGGGGGATTTAATATTTGCTGTAATAAACTTCCGAGTTTCTATAATACCAATTAATAATAATAATAATAATATTAATAATAAAAAAAAAGAAAATGAAAATATATGATAATATATGAAAATATTAAATTTCTTTTTATATATTCTTTATATATATATATATATCTGAATTTGATTATATATAAAATAAATTTAATTGAATATGGCATAAAAAAATCAAAGCAAAAAACGAGTCTTTTTATTACATTGTCTAAAAGATGTTTGTTTTTTCATTGCAAAAATATAAGGAAGATTGTAAAATTTGACGTCATAGTATAATTTTTGAACTATAAGTAAAAGTATCTTAGTATAATAATTGTGAAATAATTTTGCAACGTTGTAAATGATTAATGTTTATTTGAAGGAAAAAAAAAATAAATCAACAATAATACTTTAACAGATAATACTTTTTCAACAGATATTTATTCTTAAAACGTCATAGCATTGAAAACACATATGATGCTAGTAGAAAAAATGAATAACACACACGAACATTGAAACGACGGTATGGATTTTAATGGGGAAAGAATTTTGTTGTTGCAAAAATGCTGATAACGTGGAAAAAAGTAACGATCTAATCACAAAATATTTTGTAACGTTTAAAGAAATAAAAGAAAAAGGTCAATTTGTTAAAGTTATTTCATTTATCATTTAGTACGGGGGTTCTTTAATATTGATAATGTCTACATTAAAGATATAACATTAAAAGTCATTAATTATACAGACTACATGAATTTTGATAAAAAAGTATCAAACTATACTAATTAAAAAAAAAAGAATTGATCATGCATAAATATCTCTGTGTTATCAGCAGTAACAAGAACATTAAACAAATTGATTATGTTATTTCTATTATATCGCGTTAATAAATAAAAATAATTTGTATAAACATGTACAATATTATATTAAAATTGAAAAATAATAAATTATCACAGATTGATAAATAAATAGTTATATATCTATACGTATTTTTACAGATTTGTTTTTCTTATTATATAAGAAACCTGTTTCGTGGTCATGAATCTTAATCTTCTTGTTTCCAAGAGGGGATACGCGCTATGTTAGATTATTAGCTTCAGTATTACCGTAGCTTTCGAAGCATCGACATTCGACAAACAAAACAGTACAAAAGTAAATCTAACAAATTGACATTTTGATTTATTTCAATAGCCGTGTTTATTAAACATGAATTTTGGATCAATTCTTTGTCAAGTAAGCAAATAGAAATATTTTTATTGGAAATCATTAACTCTTACATTAGATAGATTTTTAATTCATTTTATCATCATTTTATATAGTTTTAACACACGATTGATTCCATCTGTTAGGTTTCTTAAAACGTGTATGTAGTTATTTAATTATATACAGTCTTTTAACAATAGATTTTATTTTATTATTATATTTATAATATTATTTTCAAAATTTTAAACTCTCACATACACACGAAATGGAAGAATCTATTTAAAAGAAAAATAACAATAATAATAATTAAGAAAAAGAAAACCGGAAATTATCATTCAACAAATATAGCAAGGTTTCTTTTTTTTTATTATACACACATATTTTATATTATATATACATAATATAATATATCATAAATAAGATATAATAATATATAATAATATATAATATATAATATATAATATATAATAATTTATATATTATAATATATATATATATATATATAATATTATTATTATTATTATTATTATTATTATTATATATATGTAAATATAAATAATAAATAAATATCTGTATCGTATTTTATTAAATGTAAATTCTATTAGCAATATTGGACACTGTATTCTAGATAGAATTTCGTTACTAGTATTCATACTAGATAATAATGTAAATTGATATAAAAACAGGAAATAGAGGATCTAACAAAAACAAAAAAAAAATTATCTCTTAACGAGTAATAATTACTTCTAACTTAAATTGACAGAATAGTAATCTTAAATATGAAAAAAAAAAAATGAATGACATAGTAAACAATATAAATCAACATTTTACAATAGATTTATTCAGATGTTTATGTTAAAAATATTGAAAATATTTCGTTAGCAGTATTTTTATTTATTTATTTATTTTTTGTAAATAAAATTATTATTAATTGAAAAAAAAAATATTGAACATAAACATTCACGCTTATTCTCATAATTTATCTCATTTATTATTTTTTCTATTCATTAATATCACTGTAATTTTTTTTGATTTTACCTTATAAATTTGTTTATTTGAAATACAGGATTTCTCTCAAAAAAAAACAAAAAACAAAAAAAACAAAAAAATCGTTTTACCTAATCGAAAAATTTTATATTTTTTTGCCAACAGATATTTTAAGTAGAAACATTATAAATTTACATTTGACTTTTAAATAAACATTAGCCCAAAAAAATGCATACATTGATACGGAAAATAAAATATTTCCATTCTATTTGAATAAATCAATATTAATGTTCCTTTTTAAACATTTTTTCTTTAATTATGTTTCGTTTCCTTTTTTTTTTTTTTTTTTAATATTACATTTATTATATATATATATATATATATATTTTATTACAATTATCCAATCTTATGTATATGTTTTTATATTATTATAAAATTTATAATCATTATTATATTATTTATAATTATTTATATATTAATATTATTATAAAATATTGATTATATTTTATTATATTATATAATATACATTTATTATATATATATATATATATATATATATTTTTTTTTTATCACAATTATCTAATCTTATTTATAATTTGCAATATTAAGAATAAACATTATCGAGTATTTTTTATTATACCTTAGATTATATTTTAATATTAAAAATGAATATGTTTTGACAGATTCCTCGCAAGTTAATCAAAAGGAGATGTATTCAAGCGTACGTTTCACAACGTTGTTACAGTCCTGGACCTCTGACCCAATTTACAGACGATGAACTTATGATGAAAGATACTGGTAAGTATTGAATCTCTTCGTTCTTTTTGTTTTTTAACCTTTTGTATATACACCCTTGAAGAATGAACGCTTACAATCAGATACAAAGGACGTTCATTAAAGTTATCAACAAATTGACCCTCATCTATAAACAGAGCGTATAGTTATTAATAATAAAACTAGCAAAAAATACATCTACTTCTGTAAAAACAATTTAAGTAATTGGTTATTGATAAAATACGTTATATCAGGAATATAATTTTTATTGGTATTGTTCTTTTAAATTATTTATTTATTATTTTATTTTATTTTATTTTATTTTATTTCAATTTTGATTTGATTTGTTCTTATTTTATTTTGTTTCAATTTTTATTTTTATTTTATTTTATTTTATTTCAATTTGATTTGATTTGATTTTATTTCAATTTCGATCTGATTTGTTCTTATTTTATTTTATTTTAATTTTGATTTGATTTTATTTCATTATGTATTTAATGCGACATTTTTTTTGTTTTGTTTTTTCAACGAGTCACTCATTTTATTAAATGGACTTACGTTGCTTGACTTTTATGATCTAATGTAAGTTACTATTGATTATATAAATAAATAATTATTTATACATATGCAATTTTGTTGTCAAGGAATAGTAACAAATACTATACCGAGTGTTCGAAGAAAAAATGATGTTTTTTCTCGAGCAAACACACTGTTTAAAAAAGGAATTTTATCAAACAAGTAAATATTATTATTTAATATCAAAGAGAAATTATTATAAAGTATTTATTCTTCTTTTATTTAATGGAAAAATTTACAAATCGTTTCAAGGTCAATTTTTATTTCTTTTTTCAAACATAACAATTTATATATTTTTCTTTTCTTCATTCGACGTGATAAAATAAGTAACTTTGTTTTAAATAATTTTTTTTTTATCTTAATTCCAAATTTGTTGATATAATATTCGATACAATATTTCATGTTTAAAAAAAAAAAAAAAAAAACGTACTTTTGTAATTACGAAATAATTACAACAATCAGTCGTTTGTAAATTTCTTAAATGTGTTTAATTCATGTTTGCTTATTATGTTCTTATTTATGACATTTGCATAAACATACACGCAGGTGCATGCATGCAAATTAGCATAAGAGAAAAATAGAAAAAGTAATAAATAAGAAAATTATTAATTAAAAATAAATATTTTCCATCCTTTATATTTGTCATTAAAAGATATCAGTTATTTTGTCAAATTCAAATGTGAACAAAATATTTGATTATAATAATAATGTTATTATAGTTTGTAATTACAACAATTGAAAATGAATTTTAAAATATTTCAAACGAGAGTCATTTGTCTTTTTTTTTTTTGTATATATTGCTTAGGGTGGGTCAAAAAATGACGTTTTTTTTTTTTTCAAGTGCCACGCAAAAATGGGTTTCTAACCACCTTAAAAGAATTCTCACCCAATATGAGCTCTTAATTTTAATACGAAGATCCTCCGCGTCGCAGTTTTTTATTTTTTTTGTTCAGTCCAATAGATTAAAATTCATACCTCATTATTTATTGATTGTACAGAAAAATGTTCTAGACAAATTTTGTAGGAAATTTAATGCTCTACAAAAAAGGTATCTTATACTTTTTCCGTAAACCTTACCATTTGAATGATATTGAAGATTTAAATTTGATGATTTTTAGACAAATCTCATTTTTGATTATGAATTTTATAACTCGACAATAAATGACTATTAAAAAGTGCACAATACAAATTTTTGTAGGAAATTAAGTGCTCTATAAAAATGGTGTCTTATGTTTTGGTGATTAAATTAAGCATTCAAAAGATATTCATCATCAAACTTTCATGCGTACTGATTTTTGTCTTCGAATATTAAATATAATATTGCTGTTATATAATTAATATAAAAAATAAAGTTGACCTTAGTTCAGAAAGTTCGATTAAACAATAAAAATTAATGTGAACATTATAATATTTCCCTTTTGAAATTACATAATTCAAATATGAAGAATTGTCTTCAAAAATGTCAGATTTCCGAGAAAACAATTGGTAATACTTTATTTCGAACACCCGGTGTTATATTAGGTCGAGTCATAAGTAACTTCTCTATGTCTATCTATGTAGAATCTATTTTTCGTATTTATCTACTATAAGTCACCGAAACAAACGGATTTTCAATATCACTATATAGATGAGGATTCAGTTAGTCTTCTGTCAACTTTTTTATGCAGTCAATGCTACATTTAACAGTTTTTCTTAACCCTTGAAATGAAGAGTAAAAAGTGCATATTCGACATGTAATGCTTTAAGAATTGAAACAAAGCAATAGCACTAAGGTGGCAACTGAAAAAATATGCAGTGTATACAGTGCAGGACTAATAACTGATAGGGCAGTCAGAAATTGGTTTGGCAAATTCCGTTCTGGAGATACGATCTTAAAAGATGAACCGAGTGCAGGACGTATTTCCGACTTTGATGAACCTTTTAAAGGTAATATTTGAGCAAAATCCAATAGATACGTTGAACAATTGCAAAAAGTGCAAAAAAAAAAAAAAAACTCCATAAAAGGTGTCTTGCACTTATCAGTCGCAGAAACACCATTCTTTGTTTCATAACAAACGGTAGTTATTTATGACTCGACTTAATAATAATTAATAAAATCATAGAAAGAGATAGTACAACTGGTCTTTGTATCTTTTACAACATTTTTTATTCCATTTGGTCGTTATCTTTCATAGTTTCTAAGTTGGCCAAAGAAGATATAGCTCCCCTTGTACGGAAAATGGAAAAAGAAGGACGCATAGATGATAACATATTGAAAAAACTGTTTGAAAATGGCGTAAGTTAATATCATATTAATAATTATTATGTTTGTGTGTGGGTGTGTATGTTTTTTCTTTGATAATTTTCTTTTTCAATAAATCAATTTACTTGAGGTGATAAGAAAAAACAATAAATAATAATAATGATAATGATAATAAACGATGTAATAGTATTTTGTAATAGTAATTGATCTAATTGATATTATATTTATTTTGTTGTAATTTTAAATTTGTAGTTAATGGGAATGGAAATTCCAGAAGAATATGGGGGTACGGGAGGCAACTTTATGACGACAATTCTAACTATAGAAGAAATTGCTAAAGTTGATGGTTCTGTTGCTGCACTTGTTGACATTCACAATACGCTGGTCAATTCATTGATTATTAAAATGGCAAATGAAGAACAGAAACAGAAGTATTTAACCAAGTTAGCTCAGAATTACGTAAGAGATATTATTTTATTGTAATATTGATCCTTGTGTTATACTCAACTCGTATATGAGCCATATTTATTTTGATACGATTGTAAATTTAAATTTGTAAACAACAAAAAATAAGCTTATTTAAATTTATGATTATAATTCGATGTAATCTAATCATGAAAAAAAAAAAAAAAACGGAGGAAGTACTCGTCAGGCTACGTGTGTCGCTTAGATGTATCATATTATACGCTGTCAGCCACCGATGACTGACGTGGCCTAAACGTAAAGTCTATTGTCAGCCACCGATGACTGACGTGGCCTAAACATAAAGTCTATTGTCAGCCACCGATGACTGACGTGGCGACCAACGTGTTAATAATAAAAGGGCTTATATACGAATTGATTTGAACAATTATGCTTAATAAATAAATTTGAATGTATAATTTTCTAATAATTAGGTAGGCAGTTTTTGTCTTACGGAACCGAGTGCAGGATCTGATGCTTTTTCTTTGAAAACCGTAGCAAAAAAAGATGGAAATGAGTATGTCATCAATGGTACGAAAATGTGGATATCAAATTCGGATATAGCAGAATTATTTTTAGTTTTTGCAAATGCTGATACTTCAGCGGTAAGTAGATATAATAATTTGACGTTAAAAGTACTAGTTGCATGATTTTAATTATTGTTTAGGGTGATCCGTAAAATTCGTATTACAAATGAAATCAAAAAAGACGAATGTTAAAATATTAAGTAAATTTTTATTGCGCGTTATGTGTAAATTACATGTGTACGCCAATGGTTTATATATATATAATATAATAATACAATAATATAATAATAATAATATAATTATATTATATATATAAATGGTTTAAATATATAATATAAACAAAATTTATATATATATATATATATATATATATATAATATATGATTTTAGAATAGGTAAAAACGACCTTCCTATAATTGTAAATAAATATTCTAGGATAATCGAAGATGTTTTTGTTTAAGTAAAAGTATAAGAAATATCTCGGTTGATATGAAGAATGTAAAAGTATGTATGTGTGTGTGTGAAGAATGAAGAGAGTATGTATATGTGAAGAGAGTATTATGTATGTGTGTGTGTGCTTTAGGACATGAGTGATTTCAGAAAGGTTGATAAGAAATAGAGAAATATGTTAGAATGAATGATTAAAATAAATATGTTTTGAATAAAGAGTCGGAATATTTAACAACGAAAATCAAGGAATATTTCAATTTTGTAGACAAAATTGATTTCAAAATCAATCGAGAGTACATATGCATTTAACGAACAACCGATATTTCAAATTAAACACAATTATCTTTCTATTCCTCGTTAGTGTATCGCATCCTGTTGTTTGCCCGATAGAAATTGATAGTTAATATTTTGATAATAAACAGTGTCTGGTATTATATCTCATGAAAAAACAGTCACACAGATACGGTCTGTTAATTGAAATCTTCAATTATGAACTATTAATTAAATATATTAGTTATGCTGCATGTTCTAGCTGTATAATTAAATAACAGGTGAAATGTACAGGTGTCTTTACAGGTCCTAACAGAAAATGATCCATCACAGATGCAATAATAATATTTGTAGGTAAAAATTCAAGAACTACATTTTTCTGTTTGTGTGTGTGCGTGTGTGTATGGAAACAAAAAATAAGGAATGAGATAAAGGGGATTTTTTAGAGTATAACTTTGGTGTTTGATACTTAAATAATTCGTTAGACGAGAAGGAATTGATTGGAAGCTACCTAAGTGCTATCATATAACTCACGCATACTTGATTCATTTTTAAATACATTGTTATTATAAATAAAAGCTTCCATGTGCAATTTCGTTATTCTTGATTTTCATTTTCTTTAATGTAATAGAATTTTTCTGATCTCATTTGTAATATAAAGTTTGGATCACCATATATGTTGATATACAGATACGTACATACATGTATAAGAAATATACGTACATATATATATATATATATATATATATGTATATAAGAAATTTAATTTTCCATTCGTTATTGCTACGATATAATTGTAATATCTGTGATTGATCTTAACACATTCGCAGCCGGCATATTTTTTCCTTTTTTAATAATGAGTACCGGCAAAAATAATGAATTATTTAATTAATTTATATATTAAAAATTATATTTATATATAAATTTATATTTTGTTATTCCAATATAATATTTAAATAATTATATTTTATTATATTATATTATATTTTAATTATAATAATAATAAATATATATTTATTTCAGATTATAATTATAATATAAATATATATAAAAATTTATTTTTATTAAATTTTTAAAATATAAAATGACGTGAATTCACGTCAGTTAATGTATATCTTCCGTTCTTTATATTTTATATATTATATTATATTATTTTATCATGAATCGTAGGGTTATCGAGGTATTACCACATTTTTCGTGGAAAGGGATACACCTGGAGTAACTATTGGAAAACCTGAAGATAAATTAGGAATCAAAGCATCGGGAACTTGTATGATACATTTTGAAAATGTTCGAGTAAGTAAGAAAACATTTTCTTTTACATGCAGAATATAATCATAGAGTATTATATCTTCTACTACGATTGTTTAGGTTCCTGAAAGTAACATTTTAGGCCAATTTGGACATGGTTACAAATATGCAGCAGGATTTTTAAATGAAGGGCGTATTGGTATTGGAGCTCAGATGATTGGTATAGCACAAGGTTGCTTAGATGCAACTATACCTTATACTCTAGAAAGGAAACAATTTGGCAAGGATATATTTTCATTTCAGGTAAGATATTTACATGCAGATCAAAATAAAACAATAGATTTTTCGTATAAAGCGAGTTCCTATAATATACTGTGAAAATATTGAGACTGGTATTCTCATACATGGTGTGTCTAAAAAGTTCGCTGAATGGTCTCAGGAAATAAAGGAAACAAGAGTTACAAACAAAATACCTTTACTGGCCTTCAAAGTAATCGCCATTGGTTATACAATGCACTTCTTACATCGGTTGTACAGCTGTTGGAAACTGTCAGCAAACGCTTCTTGTGGAATCGCTCGAAACACTGCAGGTCACGCTCACGATTTCCAAAACCGTCGTTAAGCGTAAGCCTTTCAGGGCTAATTTAAGGTGAGGAAACAGAAAGAAGTCTGCTGGCGCCAAATCTGGAGAATAAGGAGGGTAAGGAAGCACAGTGACCTCGCGTTTACCAAGAAAGTTGAGCATTTTGCTCCATTTTGTGCTCCATGTTGCAATGACACGAGTTCTCACACTGACCCTGTTAGCAGGGTCGCAGCGTGTACTACCGCTTCACTGCAGTGCTTTGCACGATAGGAAGCGTTTGTTGACATGTCCTTCGATGTGTATGCGCGGGCACCTCATCCTTGCCAGCGCGGTTTATAAAATATGGGACCATTTACCGAACTTTTTAGACGCACCATGTATAACGCCAATTCTTTTATAAGGATTCCTACAACAGGATTAACCAAACTGTGGCACATGCGCCAAAAGTGATCAATTGAATGATTTACAATTGATGCATTGAGTCCTTGCGTCTACTTCATTTTTTCACATAGATGCCATAACTGAATTCATCTTCATATTTATAGGCGTATATTATATAATTTAATTGCCTAATTAATTAATCCCTTTTCCTTACCAAAACGAAACAAATCCTAGCTTTCTATCACTGTTTCTCTAACTTCATGAACATTATCATGAACATAAGAAGGTAGAAAAGATATTTTAGTTATATGACGCATTTTGAATCAGTATATTAAGAAAATGATGCAATATATGTAAAAAGTTGCCCGTTCCTATGCTATAAAATCAAATGTAAGAATTTACTGTAATTTGTTTTGAATTCGTACGACATATAATATGTGAACCGCTTTATACATAAGTTTATTGTATTATCATGAATTTGTTTAATTAAATTATTTATAATTACTTAATATTCATTCAATTTTGTTAGTCTATGCAACATCAAATTGCTCAAGTTACAACTGAATTGGAAAGTGCCAGATTACTTGTATACAATGCAGCCAGATTAGTAGATGCCAAAAAAAGTATTATGAAAGAGGCAGCAATGGCGAAACTAGTCGCTTCTGGTTCGTTTTTCATTTGTTTAAATACAATTGAAAATATATTATTTATTACAGTATAGGAATTTATTTAAATTCCTTTAAATTATTACTTACAGAAACAGCCTTACGTGTAACAGCAAAATGCATAGATTTTATGGGAGGTGTTGGATTTACAACAGACTTTCCTCAAGAAAAGTATTTTAGAGATTGCAAGATTGGAACTATTTATGAAGGTACCAGTAATATGCAACTCTCTACGATTGCCAAATGTATTCGAAAGGAATATTCATAAATGATATTAAATAAAATTGTATTGACATTTTGTACTTAATTCATAAATAAAATCAATCATTAATTCACATATTAACAATATGTGAATATATACTTTTCTATTTTCATATATTAATTAGAACTTTTGTATTATATTATATTTTTTCAATATACATTACTTTACTAAATTCAATTAACTTATTAAATAATAAATTCAATATACACTACTTTAATAAAATTGTATATTTATATATTTTACAAAACCATTTTCCTTTTTCTAGAAAGCAACATTGAAAATTATTAATATTTTCGTTATTATTCTGTCTTTTATAAGTTTAGAAAAACTATTATATGTTATCGTTTCCCTGAAGTCAATAACACACACTGTTCTAAAGTAATCACCTATTCAAGTATTAATCATACCCAATGTTGCTTGCTTAACTGTAGTGATTATACAGAAATTATTAATTTGTTTCAATGGGACAAGACCATTAACGAAAAATTTTAATATACTCTAATTTTCTATCATAATTTTCATGTACTCTTATTCAACATATATTTTTCATTAGGGTGAAGTAGTTGTTTTTCTTTTTTTTTAAATCTACATAAAATGTAATAATAATCTTTATACAAACGCTACATAGATACTTTGATTTGACTTTTTACCAAACAATTTTTGTTTATTTTGGATCGTGTGGTAATTTAAAACCAACAAGATCTGCGGTATCCTTAATACTTCTTTCTCCTTTACCAGAATACTGCATTTTAATTTCCTTGTACTTCTTTTGCGATGTCAAGTAACAAAGATAAGTTTCAGCTAAGTTCTTCAATTCTTTTTGAGCTTTGCATAGAACTTCTGAAGTTTCCTTATGAGAACGTGCTTGTTCCAAAATATATTGCATTGTAATATTATCTTTTATTTTGTCATTTAAAGAAATATGACGTAATTCTTGTGCTAAAGCACGAATAATCTTGACATTGGAATTCATTGTATTTGCACGTCCTACAAAGATAAAGAAAATATTAAGGTGAAATAAATTATTTCTTTTTTTTTTTTAATTAAATTATTATTTTTTACTTTTATATACAGAAATACTCTGAACATTTAGTTAGAAATAATTACTTTTTATATCAAAATATAATATATCAGTCATACATATATATATACATATATATATTAGTATACCTTATTGTACAGTATTTGGAGAAAAAAAAAGAATTAACAGAATTTACAAAATTGAATAAAATTGTTAACATGGTGTTGTATTTGTTTTATCTGCAGGAGTAAATTCAATATATTTGCTAGGATATTGAGGAGTTTCTTTGTCAAGCCAAAAATCTGCGGATATTTGTTTTAATTTTTCTTCGGAAAAAATATGAATACTAGTAGCATAAAATACTTCTACGAATTCAAAATCATTTTCTAATTTAATTTCCGTCATATATGGATAAATACGTAAAATATATTTAGCAAAGGTCATCAAATGCCATTTTAAACTTTGTTCTACTATATCCGAGAAACTATTGGTTACTAATACGCAATTAGACAAATTTTCGCTCCAATTAGAATACAAAAAATTATTTATCAATTGTCTTGGGCAATGTGGCATATAAATAAATGTAACGTTGTTGCTAATGGTACGTTTACACTCTTCGTTGTTTTCTATCAAATTACAATGAAATTCTTGTAAAATTTCAATCTCTTTTGGAAGAAATGCAGGATCATAAATAGATACTTGACAATTATAATTTCTTCTTAATAAAAGTACCAAAGCTAATTGATATACAGAAGACCTATGCTGAGAAAATCGTCCTAAACCATAACAAATTATTTCAAATATTTCATTGGTATTTAAAATTTTTAAAGCATTTGAGACATTATGCAAAACGTGTGTCTCAAATTCACTACCTTTTAGCTTGATTCCTGCGTCAATTATTGTTCTGCAAAATTACATTAAAAAGATCAACGTAAAAAGTGAGGTTAACCGTTAAAAAAAAAAGAAAATTTACTGGAAATGATAGCACCTTACCGTTTTATGAAATCTTTATCAAATTCATATTCGTCAAATTGTGTAAGCGATAATTGTGTTTTATCAACTTTTACGAATTTTTTACGTTTCTTGCGTCGATTTACTAATATAAATTCTTCTTTAGACATATTATAATTATAACAATGTTTATTATGTTAAATTAATAATTGGACAAACTTTACACGTATATCGTATGTTGTATTGCTAAAATTGTATTTACCTATTCACTCTTTATAAGAATCAAAAAATATTATTCAACTGTGATTATAACCCAACTTTTTTTTTTTAAAAACACCTCATGTGGTATATTGTGTACTACTTCGTACAAACAATAGGATAGATATTTGTAGAACTCGTAACGCTCTCTGACGGAATATAAAACTATTACATTTGGATATTAATTCTTTTTAAATCTTATTAAAATCCAATTATAAAAACAAACATATTATTATATTATTATCCTTATCAATTAAAAATATCTGTAGTATTAATTAAAGTCTTAATTATATAAATTATCTTGAAATAAATCAAGTATATATAAATATGACACACTTATAGAAAGAAAGAAATGATTATATTTGAAAAAAGAAAAATATCCGATTAAAACTATTTTACATTATAGAAATTTAAATAATAACAATAACTTTAATTAACGATATATAAATTATACATCAGTTGATTCATTTATTTTCTTAAGAAAGAATTTAAATATAAGCCTTTTGTTTTATATTGTTTAGATCTGTATTCACTTCTCTACGTTAATCCACTTTTACATTGATTTTCTATTTATTCTCATCTTTATATTATTAAAAATAGTTGATTTCAATTCTGTTACACTGACTGCAATAGCCTACACACCCAGCTGTAATGTTATAACGTATGCCACCGGTAGAGAAATGGATCAGCTGCAACTTGAGACACGCTTGCATCAGACAATTGTGAATGCATATACCTGTTCTAAAGTATTACATCTGTTGAAACTATATCGATTGCATAATTTACAAATCACATTAATGTTAAGTCAACAACAAATAAATATAATATTTATTAAAATAATAATATTGACTATACTTGTCAATGTTAAATTCGAGAAGATTATGAGATGAATGAAGATTACAGAGATAGTTATCATACTAGTTGACTTAAAAGATGAATGAGTGCAAAGAAAGATGATGTAGCATTGAACACAAATGAAATCTTTTTTTTTTTTGTTTTTCTTTTTTAAATAACATCCTTTGTAATAGCATCCTTATAAAATTGACCGATAATGTGGTTGGTGGTATAACTGGTCTCTCTATACTATATGATGCAATAACTAGATAATGCAAATATACCCTCACTATCTTAAGATATACGACACCGCAAGTTTTCGGGTAAAAAATATACGAACTGTATTAGACAGGTTTGCAGGAACTTTCATATAAATAGACTGTCAGCTTCACAATATGCATTCAATTCCTCTCCTGTTCTTGAAGAGTAAGGAACTCAACTTACCAACCGACATCATGTTTAGGGTAAGCCTAATTCAAATATATAACTTAAGATCAACCAAATTAACATAAACATCATACAAATTCTTATATATCCTATAAAAATAGAGAGAGATTATTTTGCCCTTTCTCTTTAAATTACAATTTCATTTTCTGTTCTATATGTATAATAATGATCAGAAAAACATGTCTTGTTAATGAATATATTAACGTTAGCTGATAAGTATATTATCAGTTAATCGTTAAATAGATTAAAATTTGTGAAAACAAGTTGAACCGTTGAGTAATCTGAATAAATACTTGAATTCGAATTTTTAGCTTTATGAGCAACTATTCTAACAATAAATAACTCTCTGTCACGTGTTACATGATATTTGATTTTGCTAATAGAACCACATGCGATGATTCGATAAAAAAAGTGAATCAATCTCCAGTACAGCACGTATATTACACTAACGATATTTAGATAATTCAATTGTCTCATTGTCTAATTGTCTAATTATCTTATTGATATAAAAACATTGAAGAGAAGATGAATATACAGCCAAAAAGCCGCATCGTGTAAATGTCCTATAAACTATCCAAAAATTTTTGGATCAATAACAAATCTTTGGATCAATACCTACTTGTATGCACTGAAGAAATGACTCGCTTCAAGAATAATATTTTTTTCTAAGGATAATAATCAAACGATTGTATGCATTTTTTCAGTTCTTGGTAATCTGTGGATGCCTGATGGCTGTCGCCAGGGCTGGAGTTATCGGGGGCGGTTTGCTAGCAGCGACCGCACCTGCTGCACTCGCGGTCCAACCAGCTGCAGCTCTATCTTTATCTCCGGTTTCCACTGCTGCGGTCGTACCAACAATTGCGACCTCCTCTTCCAATATTATTCGGGGTATCGGTAATTTAGCTGCTATTTCGGCGTACTCGAAGAGCGTCGATACGCCGTTCAGTAGCGTCAGGAAAGCGGACGTACGCGTTAACAATCCTGGAATTGTGACGGCTGCCGTCGCACCCGCGCCCGCGCTTGCAGTGACAAATACTGCTCTTGCAGGTATCTAACCGCAAGGCAGAATACGATGATCACGCTCTCTTTCTTTCTATCTGAATAATACGTTTTGTGTTCTAATTTCGTTCCGTTTAATATTTTAAGCATGCAAAAACAGATAAATTAAAAAAAAAAACAAAAACTATTCCCTCGTGATTTGGGCATCATCGTATTTACAACACTTTTCTTGATAAAGGAATGGGTTTCATATTTTTTCGCGAAGATAATACTTAATGAATATGACGGGATAATGACACCCATCGCATTACACGAAAATAATAACACTTTTTCCTATCATTCCTTTCTCTTCTCACGCTAAATCTTGATCTTTTAGTTTCGTGTAATAGTATCAATAAGAATTACGCATTTATCGGATCTGCTTCCTAGGCGTTATAGACGGCTAGACGCTAAAATGAATGACAATCATTACACTTCGAGACGCTTTTAAGCCGTTCGTTCTTTGCTTGCAACAATTGACATATTTCTTTGTCTTTTCTATTTTTTTTTTTTCTTGGCAAATAATTGCACTTTTTTATAAAACGCATAATCTCTCTTTTCCCTTTCTTCCTGCCTTCCCACCATCCTTTTAGCAATGATTAATCGAAGTTATTTTTTTTTTGCATTTTTCATTTCTTCTCAACCATCAACAATAAACAGGACCTGTTACTACTGCTGCCATTGCTGCACCTGGTCTCTTGGCTCCTGGATTGACCACTGCTCTTGCCGGACAAGCCTTAGCTACTGGCCTTGGTGCACCTCTTGGTCTCAATGGTTTGACTCTTAATGGATTGGGAGCAATCAAGGTTCTCTAAAAATGTCGGCACACCAACCTTAAGCAAGCTGGTCGACTTTCAATTTCGATCGCATCAACAACATAATACTTATACGTACATGTCACAGAATGTAACATTCCAACGAAAAATAAATATAAAAGGTTGAGATGCCAAGCAATGAGTTTATCCATTTTTACAACCAGACAGCACTTGTAGCATAATTGTTGACTTCTTAGATCACTTGTACCATCCTTGAAAATTACTTTATCCTTTAATACGAAAAACTTATTTAACATTAAATCTTTTTATTAAACATATTTAAATAATATAATATACTGTATTTTATATTTCTTTAACACTAGATATACCAGAACAGTCATTTTGACTGATTGGGCCATTTTAATTCAAAATTTCTATTTCATGTAACATTTGAGTTCTGTAAATAATTTAAAAATGTCTATAAATCCATTTATCTATTAAAATTATTATTGTTGAACATATTTTGTTATTTTTTAAAAGTAAATAAAGACTGGACGCCTCAAAAAGCCTTTTTTTTATACACCAGTCCATTTTGACTACTGTGGTAGAAATAGGTATACTGAAAATGGTGGTATATCTAGTGTTAAACATTTTACGTGTTAATTAATGCTTAAAAATGTCAAATTTACAAAAAAAATATTGTGTTTAAAATTAAACACATGGTAATACTTATCTTTCTCTCTCTTTCTTTTTTTAATGTATATTTGAAGAAATAGATTTTACATGTTAACAAAAACTTCTATGATGACCTACAATATCAAAACTTCAAATAGAAAAGTCGCAAAAGAAAAAAATATCCTGAGGAAAGAAAAGTAAATCTGAAAATCAATGTAAACTTATTAATAGAATAACAATTCATTATTTATCATTTTAAAATATGAACCTTCAGTTACTTCATTTAAAGAAATATGGAACTATGATGCCATCATATCAAATACCTGTCAAAAAGAAGGTGTAAATTTCTTAGTTTGAAAAAGTGACTTTTAGGTCACCCTTTATATAAAAAACGACTTAAAAAAATGGAATTAATAAATAATATTATATAAATAGATATGGCAATAATATTGATGATGATGATAATGATGATGATGATGATAATAATAAAAATCAAAATAATAGTAAAATAATTTTACCTTTCTTTATTGGTCTAAGTTTTCTAGTCAAATATAATTACTTGATTTCTTATAAAGTAAATAAATTAAATTGTGTATAAGAATAAGTAAAATATAACTAGTATGTTCTATGTGGTCATTAACCCTTTCTTTACTAAAAATGACTAATTAATCAGCCAATAAAATTCAGACTGACAATGAGTTAGGAATTATAGGTGAACGTAAAATATCTTGATATCTTTATGACAACCAACGTTATTCTGACGTATATTCATATTTTCTATAATTCATTTTACATTGATTTCACACAACTTGACAAAGAAATTAATCATTTATATAATATACGGCTAAGTACTAAATTGTGATTGAATTTTCAACGACATTGTACTTTGCTGTAATGTGTGTGCTTGTGTGTGTGTGTGTGTGTGTGTGTGTGTGTGTGTGTGAAAGGGTTAAAATAAAAATGTATATATTTACCCATAATATATTTACCCATTACTTAATAAATTCTAAGCATTGTATAGGAAATATATTTCTAATAGGAATATATATAAAAAGATACAATATTATTTCACGTGATATTTCAATAATATTGATTGATTGATTGATCGATTGATTGATTGATTGATAAATATTCTGTGCAACCAATAAAGAATGATATTATGAATATACGTTAGAAAATGTCAACAATGATTGAATCAAATATTGTAACATACTGTTAATCAAATACTGTGAACTGTTATTTGAAGGTCATAATTAGCATTGTTTTTCTGTAGCAAATTGTCTTTACAATAATATCAATCCGCAAAGAGAGAAATTTTTATTTGTTGGAAAGATGATCATTATATATAATAATCGATTAAAATATAGTAGATGTGTAATCCCAAAAATGATTCTGAATGAAAATCAAGTTTACATAGATGTAGGAGACCAAAAATTCATTTCTCTTAATTCCGATGGTCTTGCTTGTAAGATATTTGTCTGGGATGATGATTTCCCCTGCGTTTTTTCATCTTTCCCAATATATGTTAGATTTTGCGAAGAGATAGATTTTTTTCTGTTTAATGTTTGAGGCGGAGCAAGATCTATACCACTGTCCTCTTCTTCCTCTATTTTTGAGGTTAGAATTTCTCGTGATTGACCTAATATACTAGCTAATATCCAGCTGCCTTGATATTTATCTTTATCAGGAATAAAGGCACCAGTAAAATATCGATTTGAATGAATCTTTCTGCGTGCTTTTGGTGAACTATCTGGTGTGGTTATCGGTGAAGCCAATGGTGTTGCTGGTAAAGATTTACTTCCTTTATTTAAATTAATTTCTTGTTCTGTCGACGTCGCAGAAGATTGTGGTTTGTTAAATTTATTAGACATCATTTGATTAGCTACATGAACAATGGATTTTCCGCAAAGAGCTGGTTCACCATGAAATCCATCATCAGTTCCTTGAGATTTAGCTGGTTTTATGTTTCCCGTTAATGTTTTGCTTACTGTTTATTACAAAAATATTTAATTAATAATAATAATAATAATAATAAGAAGAAGAAGAAGAAGAAGAAAAATGTTTAATTTGAAAACTTACTTTTATTAATTGCATTCGGTATAAATGGTTGACAAGGTAGCGGATGCTGACTGAAATCAATATTTTTTACTTCCTTGAACTGCGAATGAGATTGCTTAGTGGATACAATTTGACTTGTAGAGGTCGTAATTGTACTTTCATTATAAGTGGTTTTATTAGAAATTTGTGATTTTGGATACTGAATGCAGAAGAAACCTTCGTCATGAGATGGTGGACTGAATGTACCTTCGTCGAAGTCAAACCTACAAAATTGTAAATATATTTACAGTAAACTCTCCATTTATATAGGTAATTAATTGGTTCCACGAAAACAGTACGCAAATGAAAATTGTATAAATGAACCATTAAAAGTTATTTAAGTTAATGTTCTTAAATATATATTTTTACTCTTACTGAAATATAATAATGAGTTTACATGATTACGAAACAAATTACACTAAGAAATCCCTGAATTTCTTGGGTCTACAAGTAAGTTTTCAGCGTTTTTTCATACAATTTGAGAGTTTACTCTGAAAAAATGGTTACATATTTGTCATTCGAAATATTGTCCATCGGAAGATACAATTTTTTCCCATCTATCTGGCAATTTGTGAATTCCGGACCAACAAAAGTTCTCGTCTTTTGAGCCCAAGAACGTATTGAGCCAATTTTTGATTCCCTCTACTGAAGTGAAACGCATTACGGTAAGAGCGTTCTGCATCGACTGAAACAAGTGGTAGTTGGATGGCGCCAAATCTAAAATATAAGGCGGGTGAGGCAGAATTTCCCATCCACTATTATCCAAGTAGTTTTTGACCGAAGCAGCAACATGTGGCCGAGCGTTATCGTGGTGAAAAATTACGGATTCGTATCTGGTCTGATATTCTGGCCGTTTTTCCATCAATGCCCGCTTCAGACAAATTAGTTGGGTTCGATGCAATGGTCCTTTGATGGTTTGACCACTCGGAAGCAGTTCGAAGTATATGACATCCTTCTGATCCCACCATATGCAGAGCATGACCTTATTCATGTGAATATTTCGCTTCGGCGTCAATTTGGCCGGCTCACCAGGCTTTGCATATGTTATATGTCACTTTTCGTCACCAGTGACAATACAATGCAGAAACGACTTTTTTTTATGCCGCTGCAGCAACATTTCTGACATGCAAAATTGCCGTTCGACATCTCTCGGCTTCAACTCGTACGGCACCCAATTTCCAACTTTTTTGAGGAATCCCAAAGCTTTCAGGCTTAGGGAAATGGCTTGTTGTGTGACACCCAACGTCAAAATCACTATTTTTGAACCGTTTGAACCACTCACGACACGCCGATTCACCAATACATTCCGTCCCGCAAGTTTCCAGAAGCAAACGATAGACCTCAGCTACACTTTTCTTCATATTAAAGAATAGAAGCAGAGTTTCCCGCAAATGACGCTTATTTGGCACATAACTTGACATGTTTTTACTCCATAAAATATACGACGTCGATAGAAATGCGCAAATATGATGATGCAATGTTGTTAACAGATACACAAGCTTCGAAAATGACACATGGAAGTGTGACATTTCTGCCCGGAATCTACTCGTGGTGACACCATATATTTAAAAACGCTGGAGACTTACTTGTAGACCTAATATATTTTCATAATGACTCATTGACTCTGGTAGTTAGAGCACGTTAAGATGAATCAGTGTAAATGCGGATTGCATAAATAAAAGGATTACCGTATATGTTTATTTAAAATCTAATGAATTATTGGGTGTATTCTAGAGATCTAGTTAAACATTTTTTTCAAGTTATATTGGAAATCAATATTAAGATTAATTTTGAAATGAAAAACCAGATAGAGATAAATATTGAAAAGAACCAAAAATATATTAAATAATAAACTAGAAGATCCTGAATCTAATTAATGAAAGAGTTTCTACGTGTTATACGCTACTACTGTACTTTATGCTGTGTCCTCGATATCTTGGCAGTCGTTTGTATGTGAAATTAAACAGTCACACAATCATATACTTTTATATACGCACGTGCGTGTGCGCATATAAGATGCGCAAATGAAAATTCGTATGCGTATAGATCATTCGTTCATTATAAAAATAATTAATGTGCTTATAATTTACTACTAAGATAAAAGTGTGAATAGAAAAGTATATTATAAACGTTAATGTGATACTTTTCTATCCTTTTTTCCTTTTATCTTTATTTACTTTTGTATATTGATTTATAGATTTATTTGTTAATGTAAACCTGTGTGTTTAATATAATTAAAACATTAAACCAAATATAGTAGTATGCATAAACAAACTATAAATATTAGAGGATATGTTTAAAAATATTAAAGATGATATCAATAAATAGTACATTGACTTTATAATCTTTATAATAAGATTATTATACTAGGAAATAAAACTTGTTAATTAAATAAGAGAATTGTAATAGCAATTCTAAGAAGATATGATATATTATCTATTAGAATTAAATGTCTAAAAATATATGATCATGTGATAGATGCCTACTACACGAGCCAAGATTTGCATATATATATATAGTTGTCAAATATATTGTTGACAATGCTAAAAAAATCAAAGTATATATAAAATTCTATTTATTATATTTTGTTTTGTATCGAATTATATCAAATTTGTATTTATTAAACTTTTATATTATATTTTTAGTTAATATGTACCGTACTGAACAAAAGTATTAATTTAAATTAAATTTGCCTATAATTATTCTATGTGAACTTTTAAAAAGTACTTTATATATATATATATATATATATATGTGTGTTATCAGCAACGTATATAATACCTACAAAGAGAGGCCGCGATTGTCTTCCAATGAAGATTCATTGGCTCTTTAAACTTGGTGCAAATAATCAGCCGTTTACGAATAAACGCGAATTGAAATTTCACATAGATGTTTATTTCTTTTTCTATAATAGTATAGTGTGTAAAAAATGTATTGTTTCAGGCACGCCAAAACATTAATTTATGTTTTTTTTGGTTATTTTTTGTGTCTATATTTTATGTGCCGATTAAGCCGGGCCGATTGAGATGGGCTGGTCACGTGGCGATCATGGGGAAGGATTGAACAGATCACCTGAATATCTAATTTATTAACAATTTTATAAAAAAAAAAAAACTTCAAAAAAGAAGAAGTTATATTTTTTTTTTTTCAGTGACAATGCAACTTTTTACTTTGAAATTGTTTGTTAACAAAAGAGATAGTTCAGATGTCTTACTTCTCGTGATTCTATCTGTATATAATAAATATTTATTTAATATATAATTATATAATAATAAATTGTTAACATTTGATAATTATTCTTTTTACTAACCTGTTGTCTACTTTTCCTTTTATCCATCGTGGAAGAGATATACCAGCATTTAAAGATCGATCTTGTTGTCTTGATGAACCCATTTTTCTGTAGCGTATTTATTTATAATTAATCTTCTACTACTTCGATAGATTTCTATTCAAACTTCTAAACCTCCTATATGATCCTGTTTTAACAAAATGATAAAATGTTATTTTAGCATTTTTTTTTTTAAGTGCGAAAGTAAGTTCATAATTATCTAGCAATGTTATAATCTTTTTTTATGCATTAGTTGTATTGTCAAATTCTCAAGCATTAATATTTGTTAGTTTCCTTTTGTTACGCTTGTACAGAACTGAGAATGTTAGATTAATTATATTTTACTTATCAAGACATTAACAATATTTGCTTTCAAATAGAAAAAACTTCTGTTATCAGACAAATAACTGAAAAATCTATAGAATATAATAAACAACTAACATTTTTCTGTTTTATAGACCTAGAAAAGGTGTTTGACCGGATACGGTTGGAGGATATAGTGCACCTTCTGTATGACAGACAAATACTAAGTAACATCATTAAAACTATCGAAGACATCTACCGAAATAATCGAATACAGACAAACATAAACAACGAATTCACAGAACCAATAATGGTGGAAAGAGGTATTCGACAAAATTATTTTAATATTGTAATGGATGATAACAAGACTGGATCAAAATTGATCAATCAACGTATTGTGAGCAATACAAAAATAGGAAACAATCAATAGAAGCAGAGAAATACTGGGAAAATGGGAATTTAACAGCAGGAATGAAGGAAACCTGGGCGAGACTCAGGTGCGGAAATGTGGGAAATGAGGGCAATAAGGGATACAGTGACGTAAGATGTAGGATTTGCGGAAGAGAGCCAGAGAACGTGGGGCACATATGTAAATGCGGGAAAATAAAGGAAAAAATGGGAAAAGCAGTAGTGGAGAACCTAGAGAAGTGGATCGGAGAGAGGGGGGGGCCAAGAAATAGATAAGAGAGTAGAAATGGCACTGAAGGGGGAACCGGTGCCCCAGCTGTGTGCATATATGAAAAATTTCGAAAGGCTGGCCAGGCAAATGGGCCAAGATAGGGGGGAAGGGAGAACGAGAAGATAGAGTGTGAGTAGAACAATTAGACATATAAGGAAATAGAATGTAAGGAATATGTTATAGTTTTATATAGTCTATATAGTTATTGTTTTTATAGTGTTAATATTAATATCTAATATTTATTAGGGCATAATTAGAATTAAGTATATTGTCAAGGGGAACGAACATGTAGGGGGGGGGCCTTCGGGGTAAACACCCTAAAGGGGTATACCTGAAATAAACTTCTTCTTTTTCTTCTTCTATTGTAATGGATGAAATCATAAAGAAAGTGCACGAACAAAGAGGATATCGAATGGGGAACCGAGAGATAAGAATCTCGTGCTACGCCGATATTTATGCATTAAAGGACCATAAATATTATTCTTATATTTAGTAATATCAAGCCTAACTGAGAGAGATAAAGAAATTTATTTTAAATGGAAAATGTTAAATACTGATCAAGTGCTTTGATAATAACATTTTAAGTAATTCTAAAAATAAAGTTAATTACTTTGACTTGCGTACGACTCAATGCATAAAGTGTCTTGACAATATAACCAACAATCAATTATTAACTTACACTTTTAAATATAATATTATAATCTACATAAATTATTACAGTATAGCGTTGATTAACTGAACATTGGTAATCGGAATGATTATTTATTTGAGTATAGAATTTATTATGTGTGTTTATATATTCTCTCTCTCTCTCTCTCTCTCTCTCTCTCTCTCTCTCTCTCTCTCTCTCTCTCTCAATAATGTTTATATTATGAGACACGAATTCTAGTTATTTTAAATTCCCAAGTATATTACGTTGTTTTGAATTTTTATTTATAATATAAGAATATATTATTTATTATAGGAATTAAAACAATGCCATATTAAAAAATATCAGTGGATTATCGAAATGAACACCATTAGCTTTCTTAAAATAAATAACAAATATAGTAACATAATGAAAAATCTAATGATAAATGATATCATTAGATGATCTCATGACAAATATATCAAACAATAACTGTATTTCATCTTGTCTATATTTATTGCTTTTATACATATAGAATTTCATTTATAAAATAAGTATTAAAAGAAAACAATTATTATACTGTTGAAATCAGAATACGAATTAAATATCATTGTATTTTTTAGAATGGATAAACATAGATAATAATAATCCATGTTTTGAAATTATAAATGGCGATAATATATTTTATTTATAAAATAAGTATATTATAAAAGAAAACAATTAATGTTGAAATCAAAATACGAATTAAATATCGTTGTATTTTTAAGAATGGATAAACATAGATAAAAATAATCCAGGTTTTGAAATTATGAATGACGATGATATTATTTCATTTTTGTTTGAGACAAGTTATAATACAAATGTCAGTATAAATAAAATATTGGGTTGGCAACTAAATGATAGCGGATTTTAAATAAGAATGAAAATTCCAAATTTTTGTTTAAAAATATAAGTTTATTCAATTAGGTACTGTCCATTTTTGTTGATGGTCTTTTGCAATCGGTCAGGCAGTGCCACGTTCATTAAATTTCTGATCTTTGCTATCAAAAAACTGAATTAGGTGTCAAACAAAATCCGCAATGATTTAGTTGCCAACCCAATAGTATCATTTTAACAGATAGCAAATCTAAAAATGCATTGATTATAACCTTGAAATGGGCAAAAGTCAAAATGAAATAAATGTTGTACAAATGATCATGTTGAAAGTAACTCACAATTTGGCAATAACTAAAAACATCTAATTTTTGATAATGCACTTTTCTTATTATGTGCTATGCATTTTTTTATTTATAAATTATACAGATTAAAAAATTGTTAAATTTGTAATCGATTTTTTGATGACATAATTGAAAATTCAATCCTTTTATAGATGAATTATTCAAAAGATTTCAGATTATTGAAATATAATTTTGTCCTTTCAATTAATTCGGATAATCGATGCTTTACTGTTATAGACTTTTTCATTTCCAACTATTTTCTAAACATTAAATTTAAGGATTATTATATAAGAATTAAAATTAAGAATTATTATAATTATTCTAATAATTAAATTTAATTTAAATTTAATCTTGTTTTACTCAAATTTAACACTAAATATACCACCATTTTCAGTACAGTCATATCAGTTCTACCACACTAGTCAACATGACTGGTGTATAAAAAAAAAAATGCTTTTTAAGGCTTTCAGTGTTTATTTACTCTTAAAAAATAACAAAATATGTTCAACAATAATAATTTTAATAGATATTTTTAAATAATAAAACGCTTAATTATTTACAAAACTCAAATGTTACATGAAGTAAAAATTTTGAATTAAAATGCCCCC